GGGGATTTTAGGAGGATTTTTGGGTGAATTTGGGATTTTTGGGTGGATTTCGGATGAATTTGGGGGTTTGGGGCGGATTTGGGATTTTGGGGAATTTTTGGGGTGATTTTGGGGAGTTTTTGGGGGCTTTGGGTGGGATTTTTGGTGGATTTTAGGGGGATTTTGAAGGATTTTGGGAGGATTTTTGGGGGATTTTTGGGGGATTTTTGGGGTATTTTAGGGGAATTTGGGATTTTGGGGTGGATTTGGGATTTGGGGGGATTTGGGGTGATTTTGGGGTGATTTTTGGGTGATTTTGGGGTGCCTGAGCCCCGTTTTTGCCGCAGGAATTCGGAATCCGTCACCTACTTCTGGCAGAACTGGAACATCCCCGTGCACAAGTGGTGCCTCAGGTGGGGATTGGGCATTTTGGGGGGATTTGGGGGATTTGGGGGGAATTTGGGTTTTTTGAGGGGAATTTGGGGAATTTTGGGGAAGAATTTGGGGGATTTTGGGGAGGAATTTGGGGGATTTTGCGGGGGAATTTGGAGTTTTTGGGGGGGATTTTCGGGGGAATTTTTGGGTTTTGGGGCAGAAATTTGGGGAATTTTGGGGCAGGAATTTGGGGTTTTTGGGACAGGAATTTGAGGTTTTTGGGACAGGAATTTGGGGTTTTTGGGACAGGAATTTGGGGTTTTTGGGACAGGAATTTGGGGTTTTGGGGACAGAATTTGGGGGTTTTGGGGCAGGAATTTGAGGTTTTTGGGACAGAATTTGGGGAATTTTGGGGGGTTTTTTGGGGGCAGAAATTTGGGGGTTTTGGGACAGAATTTGGGGTTTTTGGGGCAGGAACTTGAGGTTTTGGGGCAGGAATTTGGGGTTTTTTGGGGCAGGAATTTGGGTCAATCGGGGCACTTTTCCCCCCCGTTTTTGGGGTGCCACGGTGGTTTTTGGGGTGCCATGGCAGTTTTTGGGGTGCCACAGCGGATTTTGGGATGATTTTTGGGGTGCCACGGTGGATTTTGGGGCGGGTTTTGGGGTGGTTTTTGGGGTGGATTTTGGGGTGCCACAGCGGTTTTTGGGGTGCCACGGCGGATTTTGGGGTGCCAGTCTGGTTTTTGGGGTGCCACGGCAGTTTTTGGGGTGGTTTTTGGGGTGATTTTTGGGGTGCCACGGCGGTTTTTGGGCTGATTTTGGGGTGTATTTTGGGGTGTTTTTTGGGGTGTTTTTTGGGGTGGATTTTGGGGTGATTTTTGGGGTGATTTTTGGGGTGCCACGGCAGATTTTGGGGTGTATTTTGGGGCGGATTTTGGGGTGTTTTTTGGGGTGTTTTTTGGGGTGATTTTTGGGGTGGTTTTTGGGGTGCCACGGCGGTTTTTGGGGTGATTTTTGGGGTGTTTTTGGGGTGCAGGCACTTCTACAAGCCGATGCTGCGGCGGGGGGTGGGGAAGCGCACGGCGCAGGCGGCCGTGTTCCTCGCCTCCGCCTTCTTCCACGAGGTCAGTGCCCCCCAAAAATCCCACAGGGACCCCAAAATCCCACAGGGAACCCCAAATTCCCAGGGGAAATCCCAAACCCAGCGGGGACCCCGAAATTCCCAAAGAGAAAAACCAAAATCCAACAGGGACCCCGAAATTCCCACAGGGAAAAACAAAATTCCCAGGGGAAATCCCAAATTCCCAAAGGGAAAACCCAAATCCCACAGGGAACCCCAAAATCACACAGGGAACCCCAAAATCACACAGGGAACCCCAAATTCCCACAGGGAACCCCGAAAATCCAATAGGGAAAACCAAAAATCCCACAGGGAACCCCAAAATCACACAGGGAATCCCAAAATCCCACAGGGAACCCCAAATTCCCACAGGGAACCCCAAATTCCCACAGGGAACCCCAAAATCCCAACGGGAACCCCAAAATCCTACAGGGAACCCCAAAATCCCACAGGGAACCCCAAAATCACACAGGGAACCCCAAAATCCCATTGGGAGATCCCAAATTCCCACAGGGAACCCCAAAATCCTACAGGGAACCCCAAAATCCCACAGGGAACCCCAAAATCCCATTGGGAGATCCCAAAATCAGGGGGGGGACACCCACATTTCAGCCAGGAACCGCCAAAATCCCATTGGGAGACGCCAAAATCCTGCTCAGAACCCCAAAATTCCCACTGGGAACCCCAAAATCCCACCAAGAACGCCCAAAATCCATCTGGGAACCCAAAATCAGGGGGGGAACCCCAAAATCCAACTGGGAACCCCAAAATTCCCACCGAGAACCCCCAAATTTCAGCCGGGAACCCCCAAATCAGGGGAAGACCCCCAAAATCCCATTAGGAGACCCAAAAATCCCACCAGGGAACCCCCAAAATCCAACTGGGAACCCCAAAATCAGGGGGGGAACCCCAAAATCCCGTCGGGAGATGCGAAAATCCCTCTCAGAACCCCAAAATCCCACCAGGGAACCCCCAAATTTCAGCCGGGAACCCCCAAAATTCCCGCCCAGACCCCCCAAAATCCAACTGGGAACCCCAAAATCAGGGGGGGGACCCACAAATCCCATTGGGAGACCTCAAAATCAGGGGGGAAACCCAAAATCCCTCCAGGGAACCCCAAAATCGGGGGGGGAACCCCAAAATCCCATTGGGAGACGCCAAAATCCCGCTCAGAACCCCAAAATTCCCACCCAGAACCTCCAAATTTCAGCGGGGAACCCCCAAAAATCCCACCCAGAACCCCCAAAATCCCACTGGGGACCCCAAAATCCAACTGGGAACCCCAAAATCCCATTGGGACACCCCAAATCAGGGGGGGAACCCCAAAATCAGGGGGGGTACCCTAAAATCCCATTGGGAGACGCCAAAATCCCTCTCAGAACCCCAAAATTCCCGCCCAGAACCCCCAAATTTCAGCGGGGAACCCCCAAAATTCCCGCCCAGAGCCCCCAAAATCCCATGGGGAGCCCCAAAATCAGGGGGGAACCCCAAAAATCCAACTGGGAACCCCCAAAATCCAACTGGGAACCCCAAAATCCTATTGGGAGACCCCAAATCAGGGGGGGAACCCTAAAATCCCATTGGGAGACCCCAAAATTCCCACCCAGAACCCCCAAATTTCATCCGGGAACCCCCAAAATTCCCGCCCAGACCCCCCAAAATCCCACGGGGAACCCCAAAATCAGAGGGGTACCCCAAAATCCCATCGGGAGATGCCAAAATCCCTCTCAGAACCCCAAAATTCCCACCCAGAACCCCCAAATTTCAGCTGGGAACCGCCAAAATTCCCGCCCAGACCCCCCAAAATCCCGGGGGAACCCCAAAACCCGCGGGGGGGTCCCCCCAAACCCGGGGGTCCCCCAACGGCGCCGTCCCCGCAGTACCTGGTGAGCGTCCCCCTGCGGATGTTCCGGCTCTGGGCCTTCATGGGCATGGCGGCGCAGGTGAGCACCCCGAAACCCGGCACCCCGAAATCGGGGCACCCCGAAATCCAGGGAACCCCAAAAACCGGGAACCCCGAAATCCGGACACCCCAAAATCGGGGCACCCCGAAATCGGGACACCCCGAAATCCGGACACCCCGAAATCCAGGGAACCTTGAAATCGGGGGAACCCCAAAAACGGGGAACCCCAAAAACCGGGAACCCCGAAATCCGGCACCCCAAAATCCGGGACACCCCGAAATCGGGACACCCCGAAATCCGGACACCCCGAAATCCAGGGAACCTTGAAATCGGGGGAACCCCAAAAACGGGGAACCCCAAAAACCGGGAACCCCGAAATCCGGCACCCCAAAATCCGGGACACCCCGAAATCGGGACACCCCGAAATCCGGACACCCCGAAATCCAGGGAACCTTGAAATCGGGGGAACCCCAAAAACGGGGAACCCCAAAAACCGGGAACCCCGAAATCCGGCACCCCGAAATCGGGACACCCTGAAAATGGGACACCCCAAAAACGGGACACCCCAAAATCGGGACATCCCATAATCCGGGGCACCCCAAAAACGGGGAACCCCAAAAACCGGGAACCCCGAAATCCGGGGCACCCCGAAATCCGGGAACCCCGAAATCCGGCACCCCAAAATCCAGCACCCCAAAATCCAGGGACACCCCAAAATCCGGAACACCAAAATCCGTGGCACCCCAAAAGCTGGGGAGCCCCAAAATCTGGGGAGCCCCAAAAACGGGGACCCCAAAAATGGGGGATCCCTAAAATGGGGAATCCCTAAAATGGGGGAGACCAAAAATGGGGAGCCCCAAAAATGGGGAACCCCAAAAATGGGGAATCCCAAAATCCAAGGGACACCAAAAACGGGGAACCACAAAAAACTGGGCACATCAAAAACGGGGAACCCCTAAAATGGGGGACACCAAAAATGGGGCACCCCAAAATCCAGGGACACCAAAAACGGGGAAACCCAAAATCGGGACACCCCAAAATCGGGACACCCCAAAATCGGGACACCCCAAAATACGGGGAGCCCCAAAAATGGGGAATCCCAAAATGGGGGACACCAAAATCCGGGGCATACCAAAAATCGGGAACCCCAAAATCCGGGGCACCCCAAAAACGGGAATCCCAAAATCCGGGGAACCCCAAAATCGGGGAATCCCAAAAACGGGGGACACCAAAAACGGGAACCTCAAAATCCAGGGCAGCCTAAAAAAGGGGCACCCCAAAAACGGGGAATCCCTAAAATGGGGGAGACCAAAAATGGGGAACACCAAAAAACCGGGCACACCAAAAACGGGAACCCCCAAAAATGGGGAACCCCAAAAACGGGGAACCCCAAAAACGGGGGATACCAAAAATGGGGGATCCCTAAAATGGGAAACCCCAAAATCCAGGGCAGCCTAAAAACGGGGAAACCCCAAAAATGGGGAACCCCAAAATCCGGGGCACCTTAAAAATGGGGGACACCAAAAACGGGAACCCCAAAAATGGGGAACCACAAAAATGGGAAACCCCAAAAATGGGAAACCCCAAAATCGGGAACCTCAAAATCCAGGGGACCCCAAAAATGGGGAGTCCCAGAAACGGGAACTCCAAAATCTGTGGAGCCCCAAAAACGGGAACCCCAAATATGGGGAACACCAAAAACGGGGGACACCAAAATCCGGGGAAGCCCAAAAATGGGCAATGCAAAAATGGGGGACACCAAAATTCGGGGAACCCCAAAACTGGGGGATCCCTAAAATGGGGGACACCAAAAACAGGAACCCCAAAATCGGGGAACCATAAAAATGGGGGACACTGAAAATGGGGAACCCCAAAATCCAGGGAACCCCAAAAATGGGGAACCCCTAAAATGGGGGAGACCAAAAATGGGGAACCCCAAAAACGGAGGATACAAAAAAACTGGGCACCCCAAAAACAGGGAACCCCAAAATCTGGGCACATCAAAAACAAGGAACCCCAAAAACAGGGACCCCAAGAATGGGGGACACCGAAAATGGGGAATCCCAAAATCTGGGGAACCCCAAAATGGGGAAGCCCAAAATCCAGGGCAGCCTAAAAACGGGGAACCCCAAAAATGGGAACCCCAAAATCCAGGGCACCCAAAACATGGGAAACCCCAAAATCTGGGGCACCCAAAAATCCGGCACCCAAAAATCCATCACCCCAAAAACGGGGCACCCCAAAAACGGGGAACCCCAAAATCCAGGGAAACCCAAAACCCGGGGCACCCCAAAAATGGGGGATCCCTAACATGGGGAATCCCTAAAATGGGGGAGACCAAAAATGGGGAGCCCCAAAAACAGGAACCCCAAAAACGGGGAACCCCAAAAAAAGGGAACCACAAAAATGGGAAACCCCAAAAATGGGGGACACCAGAAACGGGGACCCCAAAAACGGGACACCCCAAAAACGGGGAACCCCAAAATCCGGGGCGCACAAATAATGGGAAGCCCCAAAATCCAGGGAACCTCAAAATCCGGGGAACCCCAAAACGGGAACCCCAAAAAACCGGGCACACCCAAAACGGGAATCCCAAAATCCGGGGAACCCCAAAAATGGGGAACCCCAAAAACGAGGAACCCCAAAAATGGGGAACCCCAAAAACAGGGAACCCCAAAAAATGGGAACCCCAAAAACGAGGAACCCCAAAAATGGGGAATCCCAAAATCTGGGGAGTCCCAAAAACGGGGAACCACAAAAATGGGAAACCCCAAAAAAGGGGGATACCAAAAATGGGGAACCCCAAAACCAGGAGATACAAAAAAACTGGGCACCCCAAAAACGGGGAACCCCAAAAACGGGAAACCCCAAATATGGGGAACCCCAAAAATTGGGGATCCCTAAAATGGGGGACACCAAAAATGGGGCACCCCAAAAACGGGGAATCCCAAAATCGGGAACCTCAAAAATGGGGAACCCCAAAAATGGGGGATCCCTAAAATGGGGGAGACCAAAAATGGGGAACCCCAAAAACGGGGGACACCAAAACTGGGAACCCCAAAAAACTGGGCACACCAAAAATGGGGAACTCCAAAATCGGGGAACCCCAAAATCGGGACACCCCAAAATCCAGGGCACATCAAAAACGGGGATCCCCAAAATCGGGGAAGCCCAAAAAACTGGGGACACCAAAAACGGGGAACCCCAAAAATGGGGCAACGCCAAAAATGGGGCGCCCCAAAAATTTAGAATCCTAAAATCCGGGGCACCCTTAAAATAGGGCACCCCAAAAATGGGGGACACCAAAAATGGGCACCCCAAAATTGGGGCACTCCAAAATTCAGGGTACACCAAAAATGGGGCACCCCAAAATCGGGCACCCCAAAAATGGGGCAACCCAAAAATGGGGTACACCAAAAATGGGGAACCCCAAAAATGGGGAACCCCAAAAACGGGGGACACCAAAAACGGGGACCCCAAAATCCAGGGAACCCCAAAAATGGGGAACCCCAAAATCCAGGGTGCCCAAAAACGGGGAACCCCAAAAACGGGCAACCCCAAAATCTGGGGAACCCCAAAAATGGGGAACCCCAAAAACGGGGAACCCCAAAAAACTGGGCACCCCAAAAATGGGGAACCCCGAAAAACGGGGAACCCCAAAATCTGGGCACATCAAAAATGGGGCACCCCAAAATCTGGGGACCCCAAAAATGGGACACCCCAAAAAATGGGGCACCCCAAAAACGAGAACCCCAAAATCAGGGAACACCAAAAATGGGAACCCCAAAATCTGGAGCACCACAAAAACGGGGAACCCCAAAATCCGGGGAACCCAAAAACGGGGAACCCCAAAAAACTGGGCACCCCAAAAACGGGGGACACCAAAAATGGGGAACACCAAAATCCAGGGCACCCCAAAAACGGGAAACCCAAAAACGGGGCACACCAAAAAACTGGGAACCCCAAAAATGGGGCAACCCCAAAATGGGGGACACCCCAAAAACGGGACACCCCAAAATCTAGGGAAAACCAAAATCTGCGGAGCCCCAAAATCCAGGGAACTCCAAAAATGGGGAACCCCAAAATCCGGGGCACCTTAAAAATGGGGGACACCAAAAACAGGGAACCCCAAAAATGGGGAAAACCAAAAATGGGCAACCCCAAAAACAGGAACCCCAAAATCGGGGAACCACAAAAATGGGGGACACTGAAAATGGGGAACCCCAAAATCCGGCACCCCAAAAACGGGAATCCCAAAATCCGGGGAACCCCAAAAACGGGGAATCCCAAAAATGGGGAATCCCAAAAATGGGGAATCCCAATATCTGGGGAGCCCCAAAAACGGAGAACCACAAAACTGGGGACACCCCAAAATCTGGGCACACCAAAAATGGGCAACCCCAAAATCCAGGGAACCCCAAAAACGGGGGATCCCTAAAATGGGGGACACCAAAGACAGGAACCCCAAAATCGGGGAACCACAAAAATGGGGGACACTGAAAATGGGGAACCCCAAAATCCAGGGAACCCCAAAAATGGGGAACCCCTAAAATGGGGGAGACCAAAAACGGGGAACCCCAAAATCCAGGGCAGCCTAAAAACGGGGAACCCCAAAAACGGGAAACCCCAAAAAATGGAGAGTCCCAAAAATGGGAACCCCAAAATCTGGGGAACCCCAAAAATGGGGACCCCAAAATCCAGGGCACCCCAAAGTCTGGCACCCCAAAATCCAGGGTGCCCAAGAAATGGGAAACCCCAAAATCCGGAACCCCAAAAATGGGGGATCCCTAAAATGGGGGACACCAGAAACGGGGACCCCAAAAACGGGGAACCCCAAAAACGGGAACCCCAAAATCCATGGAACCCAAAAAAACCGGGGAACTCCAAAAATGGGGGATCCCAAAATCGGGGGATACCAAAAACGGGGAACCCCAAAATCCGGCACCCCCAAAATGGGAACCCCAAAATACGGGGGACCCCAAAAACGGGGAACCCAAAATCCATGGAACCCAAAAAAACCGGGGAACCCCAAAAACAAGGAACCGCAAAATCAGGGGCACCCCAAAATCCGGCACCCCAAAAATTGGGAACCCCAAAAATGGGAACCCCAAAAACGGGGAACACTAAAATGCAGGGCACCCTAAAAATGGGGCACCCCAAAAATGGGGAACCCCAAAAACAGAAACCCCAAAAATGGGGAACCCCAAAAAATGGGAACCCCAAAAACGGGGAACCCCAAAAACGGGGACCCCAAAAAACTGGGTACACCAAAATCGGGAACCCCAAAATCCAGGGCACATCAAAAACGGGGATCCCCAAAAACAGGGGATCCCTAAAATGGGGGACACCAAAAATGGGGAACCCCAAAAATGGGAAACCCCAAAATCCAGGGCAGCCTAAAAACAGGGAAACCCAAAAACGGAAACCCCAAAAATGGGGAACCCAAAAAAACAAGGAACCCCAAAATTGGGGAACCCCAAAAACAGGGAACCCCAAAAATGGGAAACCCCAAAATCCGTCACCCCAAAAACGGGAACCCCAACAATGGGGAACCCCAAAAACGGGAACCCCAAAATCCAGGGCACCCAAAAACCAGGACACCCCAAAAATGGAGAACCCCAAAAATGGGCACGGGGGTGACACAGGTGACACAGGTGACACAGGTGTGACACAGGTGTGACGCAGGTGTGACACAGGTGTGACACAGGTGTGACACAGGTGTGACACAGGAGTGACACAGGTGTGACACAGGAGTGACACAGGTGTGACGCAGGTGTGACACAGGTGTGACACAGGTGTGACACAGGTGTGACACAGGAGTGACACAGGTGTGACACAGGTGTGACACAGGTGACACAGGTGACACAGGTGTGACACAGGTGACACAGGTGACACAGGTGACACACAGGTGACACAGGTGTGACACAGGTGACACAGGTGTGACACAGGAGTGACACAGGTGACACAGGTGTGACACAGGTGTGACACAGGTGTGACACAGGTGTGACACAGGAGTGACACAGGTGACACAGGTGTGACACAGGTGTGACACAGGTGTGACACAGGTGTGACACAGGAGTGACACAGGTGTGACACAGGTGACACAGGTGTGACACAGGAGTGACACAGGTGACACAGGTGTGACACAGGTGACACAGGTGTGACACAGGTGTGACACAGGTGACACAGGTGTGACACAGGTGACACAGGTGTGACACAGGTGTGACACAGGTGACACAGGTGACACAGGTGACACGGGGGTGACACAGGTGTGACACAGGAGGTGACACAGATGACACAGATGACACAGGTGACACACAGGTGACACAGGTGTGACACAGGTGTGACACAGGTGAGGGACAGGTGACACAGGTGACACAGGTGACACAGGTGACACAGGTGTGACACAGGTGACACAGGTGACACAGGTGTGACACAGGTGACACAGGTGACACAGGTGACACAGGTGACACAGGTGTGACACAGGTGACACAGGTGACACAGGTGTGACACAGGTGACATGGAGGTGACACAGGTGTGACACAGGTGACACAGGTGTGACACAGGTGTGACACAGATGACATAGAGGTGACACAGGTGACACAGGTGACACAGGTGTGACACAGGTGACACAGGTGTGACACAGGTGTGACACAGATGACATAGAGGTGACACAGGTGTGACACAGGTGACACAGGTGTCCCTTTGTCCCCAGATCCCGCTGGCCTGGCTGGTGTCGCGGTTCCTGCGGGGACAGGGGTGACACAGGGGTGACACAGGTGGCACAGGTGTGACACAGGTGTGACACAGGTGTGACACAGGTGTGACACAGGTGACACAGGTGTCCCTTTGTCCCCAGATCCCGCTGGCCTGGCTGGTGTCGCGGTTCCTGCGGGGGCACTACGGCAACGCGGCCGTGTGGCTGTCCCTGATCCTGGGCCAGCCCGTGGCCGTGCTCATGTATGTGCATGACTATTACGTGTTGCACTGCAACAACACGGGATAACACGGGATAACATGGGTTAAACCGGGAATAAACTGGGTAAACCGGAATAAACTGGGTTAAACCGGAATAAACCGGATAAACCACACAAACCGGAATAAACCGGATAAACCACACAAACCGGCTCATGTATGTACATGACTATTACGTGTTGCACTGTAACAACACGGGATAACACGGGATAGACCGGATAAACTGGGTTAAACCAGGTTAAACTGGGTTAAACTGGGAATAAACCGGATAAACCGGGATAAACCGGAATAAACCGGATAAACCACACAAACCGGCTCATGTATGTGCATGACTATTACGTGTTGCACTGTAATAACACGGGATAACACGGGATAGACCGGGATAGACCGGGTTAAAACCGGAATAACACGGGATAAACCAGGAATAAACCGGAATAAACCAGATAAACCACACAAACCGGCTCATGTATGTACATGATTATTACGTGTTGCACTGTAATAACATGGGATAACACGGGATAACACGGGATAACACGGGATAGACCGGGATAAACCGGGATAGACCGGGATAAACTGGGATAAACTGGGTTAAACCGGATAAACCACAGAAACCGGAATAAACCAGATAAACCACACAAACCGGCTCATGTATGTACATGATTATTACGTGTTGCACTGTAATAACATGGGATAACACGGGATAACACGGGATAGACCACAGAAACCGGGAATAAACCGGAATAAACCGGAATAAACCGGATAAACCACACAAACTGGCTCATGTATGTGCATGACTATTACATGTTGCACTGTAATAACACGGGATAGACCGGGATAGACCGGGATAAACCGGGATAAACTGGGATAAACTGGGATAAACCAGAATAGACCGGAATAAACCACAGAAACCGGAATAAACCGGATAAACCACACAAACCGGGTCATGTATGTGCATGACTATTACGTGTTGCACTGTAATAACACGGGATAACACGGATAGACCGGGATAGACCCGGGATAAACCGGGATAAACTGGGTTAAACTGGGATAAACCGGAATAAACCGGATAAACCACAGAAACCGGAATAAACCGGATAAACCACACAAACCGGCTCATGTATGTGCATGACTATTACGTGTTGCACTGTAATAACACGGGATGACACGGGATAGACCGGGATAGACCGGGATAAACCGGGATAGACTGGGTTAAACTGGGTTAAACTGGGTTAAACCGGATAAACCACACAAACCGGCTCATGTATGTCTATGTACATGACCATTATGTGTTGCACTGTAATAACACGGGATAGACTGGGATAAACTGGGTTAAACTGGGATGGACTGGGAGGGACTGGGATAAACCGGGATAAACTGGGATAAACCAGGATAAACTGGGATAAACCAGGATAAACTGGGATAAACCAGGATAGACCGGGATAAACCATGACAGACCCGGGATGGAGCTGGGATAAACCGGGTTAAACCGGGATAGACTGGGATAAACCGGGACAGAGCCGGGACACCCCTGAAACTGCCCCATAGCGAACCCACAGTGACCCCGCAGTGACCCCACAGTGACCCCACCCCGGCCCCACCCGCCCCCGGCCCCGCCGTGACCCCGCGGTGACCCCGGGCCGCCCCTCCCCCCCTGTCCCGCCCCCCGGCACCGCCCCCGGTACCGGCACAGAGCGGCTTTGATGGGATCAAAGGTACCGGTACCGGTAACGGGGCGGTGACACCGGTAACGGGACAGTGACACCGGCACCGCCCCCGGTAACGGCACAGAGCGGCTTTGATAACGGGATCAAAGGTACCGGTAACGGTAACGGGACACCGGTAATGGACAGTGACACCGGTACCGCCCCCGGTAACGGCACAGAGCGGCTTTGATGGGATCAAAGGTACCGGTAATGGACAGTGACACCGGTACCGGTAATGGGACACCGGTACCGCCCCCGGTAACGGGACAAAGTGGCTTTGATGGGATCAAAGGTACCGGTAACGGTAACGGGACACCGGTAACAGGACAGTGACAGTGACACCGGCACCGCCCCCGGTAACGGCACAGAGCAGCTTTGATAACGGGACCGTGACACCGGTACCGGCACAGAGCGGCTTTGACGGGATCAAAGGCACCGGTACCGGTAACGGGACACCGGTAATGGACAGTGACACCGGTACCGGCACCGGCACAAAGCGGCTTTGATGGGATCAAAGGGCTCCGGTAACGGGACCGGGACAGCGGTAACGGGACAGTGACACCGGTACTGGTAATGGGACAAAGCGGCTTTGATGGGATCAAAGGGCTCCGGTAACAGACAGGGGCACCAGTAACAGGACCGTGACACCGGTAACGGTAACGGGACAGTGACACCGGCACCGGTACCGGCACAGAGCGGCTTTGATGGGATCAAAGAAACCGGTAATGGACAGTGACACCGGGACCGGTACTGATAACGGGACAAAGCGGCTTTGATGGCATCAAAGGTACCGGTAACGGTAACGGGACAGTGACAGTGACACCGCCCCCAGCCTGGCACAAAGCGGCTTTGATAACGGGACCGTGACACCGGCACCGCCCCCGGCACCGGCACAGAGCGGCTTTGATGGGATCAAAGGTACCGGTAATGGTAACGGGACCGTGACACCGGTAACGGCACCGGCGCCGGTAACGGGACAAAGCGGCTTTGATGGGATCAAAGGTAACGGTAACGGTAACGGGACACCGGTAACGGGACAGTGACACTGGTACCGGTAACGGGGCAGTGACACCGGTACCGGTAACGGGGCAGTGACACCGGTAACGGGACAGTGACAGTGACACCGGCACCGCCCCCGGTACCGGCACAGAGCGGCTTTGATGGGATCAAAGAAACCGGTAATGGACAGTGACACCGGGACCGGTACTGATAACGGGACAAAGCGGCTTTGATGGCATCAAAGGTACCGGTAACGGTAACGGGACCGTGACAGTGACACCGCCCCCAGCCCGGCACAAAGCGGCTTTGATAACGGGACCGTGACACCGGTAATGGTAACGGGACCGTGACACCGGCACCGCCCCCGGCACCGGCACAGAGCGGCTTTGATGGGATCAAAGGTACCGGTAATGGTAACGGGACCGTGACACCGGTAACGGCACCGGCGCCGGTAACGGGACAAAGCGGCTTTGATGGGATCAAAGGTAACGGTAACGGTAACGGGACACCGGTAACGGGACAGTGACACCGGTACCGGTAACGGGGCAGTGACACCGGTAACGGGACAGTGACAGTGACACCGGCACCGCCCCCGGTACCGGCACAGAGCGGCTTTGATGGGATCAAAGAAACCGGTAATGGACAGTGACACCGGGACCGGTACTGATAACGGGACAAAGCGGCTTTGATGGCATCAAAGGTACCGGTAACGGTAACGGGACCGTGACAGTGACACCGCCCCCAGCCCGGCACAAAGCGGCTTTGATAACGGGACCGTGACACCGGTAACGGTAACGGGACCATGACACCGGTAACAGACAGTGACACCGGTACCGGGACAGTGACACCGGTACCGGTAACGGCACAGAGCGGCTTTGATGGGATCAAAGGTACCGGTAACAGTAACGGGACAGCGGTAACGGCACCGGTAACGGCACAAAGCGGCTTTGATGGGATCAAAGGGCTCCGGTAATGGTAATGGGACACCAGTAACGGGACACCGGTAACGGGACAGTGACAGTGACACCGACACCGCCCCCGGTAACGGCACAGAGCGGCTTTGATGGGATCAAAGGTACCGGTAACGGACAGGGACACCGGTAATGGACCATGACACCGGTAACGGGACAGTGACACCGGGACCGGTACCGATAACGGGACAAAGCGGCTTTGATGGCATCAAAGGTACCGGTAATGGACAATGACACCAGTACCGGTAACGGGACAGTGACACTGGTACCAGCACCGGCACCGGTAACGGGACAAAGTGGCTTTGATGGCATCAAAGGGAGCCTTGTGCGGCACCGGTAACAGGACGGTGACACCGGTACCGGCACCCAACACCCGGTACTGCCATCCCCACCCCAGTACCGCCACAGGACAGCAATACCCGGTACCGGTACCAGCACCAGTACGGGACAGTGACACCGGTACCGGCACCGCCATCCCCACCCAACACCCGGTACTGCCATCCCCACCCGGTACCGACACCCGGTACCGACACCCCCACCCAGTACCGACACCCCCACCCGGTACCGACACCCGGTACCGACACCCCCACCCGGTACCGGCACCGGCAGCACCGGGGCCCGGGAGTGGGACCGCGACAGCGGCTGGGATGGGACCCCAAATCTGCATATGGAGATCCTAAATCTGCATATGGAAATCGCAAATCTGCATATGGAAATCCCAAATCTGCATATGGAAATCCCAAATCTGCATATGGAGATCCAAAATTCACACCTGGGAACCCCAAATTCACACCCGGAACCGGGAGAGAACCGGGACTGAACCGGGACAAAACCGGGACCGAACCGGGACAGAACCGGGAGAGAATCGGGAGAGAATCGGGAGAGAACTGGGAGAGAACCGGGACAGAACCGGGACTGAACCGGGACAGAACCGGGACTGAACCGGGACTGAACCGGGAGAGAGCCGGGACTGAACCGGGACCGCAGTGCCGGTCCAGTCCCGGTTCTCTCCCGGTTCAGTCCCGGTGCCGCGGTCGGTTCCGGCGCGGTCCCAGTTACGTCCCGGTGCTGTGGTCGGTCCCGGTTCTATCCCGGTTCCGTCCCGGTGCTGCGGTCGGTCCCGGTGCGGTCCCGATTCTATCCCGGTGCGGTTCCGGTTCTATCCCGGTGCCGCGGTCGGTCCCGGTTCTGTCCCGGTTCTATCCCGGTTCCGTCCCGGTGCCGTGGTCAGTCCCGGTTCTGTCCCGGTGCCGCTGTCGGTCCCGGTTCTGTCCCGGTTCCGTCCCGGTGCCGTGGTCAGTCCCGGTTCTGTCCCGGTGCCGCGGTCGGTCCCGGTTCTATCCCGGTTCCGTCCCGGTGCCGTGGTCAGTCCCGGTTCCGTCCCGGTGCCGCGGTCGGTCCCGGTTCTGTCCCGGTTCCGTCCCGGTGCCGCGGTCGGTCCCGGCGCGGTGCCAGCGCCAATTCCCGCAGTCCCGGGGCGGTGCCGGTTCCGGTGCGGTTCCGGTGCGGTCCCATTGCGGTTCCGGTTCTGTTCCGGTGCAGTTCCGTTGCAGTCCCGGTGCGGTTCCGGTGCGGTTCCGTTGCAGCCCCGGTGCGGTTCCGGTTCTGTCCCGGTGCGGTCCCGTTGCAGTCCCGGTTCCATCCCGGTTCTCTCCCGGTTCTGTCCCGGTCCCGGTCCCGGTTCCGGTGCCCCGCCCCACCGGTCCCGCCCCACCGGCCCCGCCCCACCGGCCCCGCCGTTAAAACGGCCCCGGGGCGGTTCCGGCCCAGCAGCCATGGGCGGGCGGCGGTGAGCGGGACACTGGCACCGGCACCGGGACACGGGACACCGGGACACGGGGGACACTGCGGGGACACCGGGGATGGAGTGGGGACACCGGGACACGGGGGACAGCGGGACACGGGCACCGGGACCGGGACACCGGGGGGACAGCGGGGGGACAGCGGGATACCGGGACACCGGGGGGAGCGGGACACCGGGGATGGAGTGGGGACACCGGGGACAGCGAGGGGACAGAGAGGGGACACCGGAGATACCGGGACACGGGATACCGGGACACCGGGACACCAGGGACACTGGATACCAGGACAGCGGGGGGACACCGGCAGCGGGGACAGCGGGGACACCGGGACACTGGGACACTGGGACGCAGGGACACGGGGACACCGGGATACCGGGACACGGGATACGGGATACCAGGATACCGGGGCACCGGGACACTGGGGACAGCGGGATACGGGATACCGGGACACCGGGGGGACACCGGGAACATCGGGGACAGCGGGGATGGAGTGGGGACATTGGGGACAACGGGGATACCGGGGACAGCGGGGACAGCGGGGACATCGGGATACCGGGACAGCAGGGACACGGGACACCGGCGGGACACCGGCACCGGGACAGCGGGGACATCGGGGTACCGGGACACGGGATACCGGGACACGGGGGACACCGGGGACAGCAGGACACGGGATACCGGGGGGACACCGGAACAGAGAGGGGACATGGAGGGGGGACACCGGGGGGACACCGGGGGGACACCGGGGGGATGGAGACGGGACACCGGGGACACCGGGGGGACAGCGGGATACCGGGACAGCGGGGACAGCGGGGACACGGCGGCGACAAGGGGGGGACACGGAGGGGACAGCGGGGGGACACCGGGGGGACACCGGTGACAAAGGGACAGAGGGACACCGAGGGGACACCGGGGACAGCGGTGACAAGGAGGGGACACGGGGGACACCGGGGGGACACAGGGAGGACACCGGGGGACACCCGGGGGTGGCACCGGGTGGCACCGGGGGCTGACAATGGCAGTGAGTGGCACTTGGGGACCCGGGATGGCACCGGCTGTCCCGGGGAGGTGACAATGGTGACAATGGCAGCGGGTGGCAGCGGGTGGCACAGGGGGGTGACAATGGTGACAATGACCGCGGGTGGCACTTGGGGACAGGAAGATGGCACTTGGGGTGACAGTGGTGACAATGGCAGCGGGTGGCATCAGGGAGGTGACAATGGCAGCGGGTGGCACCGGGGGGTGACAATGGTGACAATGACCGCGGGTGGCACTTGGGGACAGGAAGATGGCACTTGGGGTGACAGTGGTGACAATGGCAGCGGGTGGCATCAGGGAGGTGACAATGGCAGCGGGTGGCACCGGGGGGTGACAATGATGACAATGACCACGGGTGGCACTTGGGGACTGGGAGGTGGCACTTGGGGTGACAATGGCAGTGGGTGGCACTTGGGGACAGGGAGGTGGCACCGGGTGGCACCGGGGAGGTGACAATGGTGACAGTGGCACCGGCTGGCACCGGGGGAGTGACAATGGCAGCGGGTGGCACTTGGGGGACAGGGAGGTGGCACCGGGGGAGTGACAACGGCAGCGGGTGGCACTTGGGGACACCGGATGGCACCAGAGGGTGACAATGGTGACAGTGGCACCGGGTGGCACTTGGGGACCTGGGGGGGGGTGACAATGGCACTGGGTGGCACCAGGGAGGTGACAATGGTGACAATGACCGCGGGTGGCACTTGGGGACATGGGGGGGGTGCCAACGGCAGCGGGTGGCACCTGGGGACAGGGAGGTGGCACCGGGGGCTGACACAGGTGACAGAAGTGACAGAGGTGACACAGGTGACAGAGGTGACACAGATGACACAGGTGACACAGGTGACAGAGGTGACACAGGTGACAGAGGTGACACAGATGACACAGGTGACACAGGTGACACAGGTGACACAGGTGACACAGGTGACACAGAGGTGACAATGCCACCCGCAGGCTCCCGGCGCTGGCCGCTGTCACCCTCCTGCTGGCGGCCACCGCGGCGACAAACGGTGAGGGGGGGGAGGGGCGGGGGGGGGATTTGGGGGGTCCCGGTGCCCCCCCGGTGCCACCCCCGGTGCCATTGTCACCATTGTCACCATTGTCACCATTGTCACCTCTGTCACCGCAGGTCCCCCGGAGGTGCCGCTGGTGGGGGAGGGGCAGAGCCCAGGTGGGTTTTGGGGGGTTTTGGGGGGTCCTGGGGGGATTTTGGGGACCCCCCCCCCTGAATTTGGGGGGTCCGGGGGGGTTTTGGGGACCCCCCCCCGAATTTGGGGGGTCTGGGGGGGGTTTTGGGGACTTTGGGGACACCGCGGTGACACCGAGTCCCCCCCCCGTGTCCCCCCAGAGCCGCCCCGGCTGGAGGCGTCGGGAGAGAGTGAGTGGGGACCCCCCCCCGCACCCCAAAATATTCCTGACCCCCCCCGGGGACCCCAAAATCCTCCTGACCCCCCCCGGCACCCCAAAATCCTCCTGACCCCCCCCCGGGCACCCCAAAATATTCCTGACCCCCCCCGGGCACCCCAAAAACCGCCCAGGGACCCCAAAATATTACTGACCCCCCCGGTGACCCCAAAATTCTCCCCGGTGACCCCAAAAACGTCCCGGGGACCCCAAAAAACTCCTGACCCCCCCAGGGGACCCCAAAATCTCATCGGGGACCCCAAAATCCTTCTGACCCCCCCCGGGCACCCCAAAAACCGCCCCGGGGACCCCAAAAAAGCCTCAGGGAACCCCAAAATCCTCTCCGGGGACCCCAAAATCTTCCCGGGCACCCCAAAATCCTCCTGACCCCCCCCGGGGACCCCAAAAACCGCCCCGGGGACCCCAAAATCCTCCTGACCCCCCCCGGGGACCCCAAAAATCACCCCCGGGACCCCAAAATCCTCCTGACCCCCCCTGACACCCCAAAAACCGCCCCTGGACCCCAAAATATTCCTGAACCTCCCCGGGCACCCCAAAAGCCGCCCGGGAACCCCAAAATCTCCTCGGGAACCCCAAAAATTCCCCGGAGACCCCAAAACTCCCACAGCACCCCAAAATCCTTCTGACCCCCCCGGGGACCCCAAAATCTCCTCGGGGACCCCAAAAACCGCACCGGGACCCCAAAAATCACCCCCGGGACCCCAAAATCTTCCTGAGCCCCTCCGGGCACCCCAAAATCCACCGGAGGACCCCAAAAACGTCCCGGGGACCCCAAAATCCTCCCCGGGGACCCCAAAAAAGCCCCCGGGAACCCCAAAATCTCCTCGGGGACCCCAAAATCTCCTCGAGAACCCCAAAAACCGCCCCGGGGACCCCAAAAGCCGCACGGGGACCCCAAAATCTCCTCGGGGACCCCAAAATCCCCTCGGGGACCCCAAAATTTCCTCGGGGACCCCAAAAACCGCCCCTGGGGACCCCAAAAAAGTCCCCGGGAACCCCAAAATCCTCCCCGGGAACCCCAAAACTCCCCCGGGGACCCCAAAATGTCCTCGGGAGCCCCAAAAACGTCCCGGGAACCCCAAAAACCACCCCAGGGACCCCAAAATTTTCCCCGGGGACCCCAAAATCCTCCTGACCCCCCCGTGCCCCCCCAGGTGATCTCAGCACCCCCACACTGATGGGCAGAGGTAACACGGGCACCCCAAAAATGGGAACCCCAAAAATGGGCACCCCAAAAATGGGAACACCAAAAATGGGGGTGGGGGACCCCAAAAATGGGGGTGGGCACCCCAAAATGGGCACCCCAAAATGGGCACCCCAAAAACGGGCACCCCAAAAATGGGGGGGGAACCCCAAATGGGGGTGGGTACCCCAAAAATCGGGTCAGGGTCCCCAAAAATCGACAAGGGCACCCCAAAAATGGGCATCCCAAAAATGGGCACCCCAAAAATGGGCACCCCAAAAATGGGAACCCAAAAATGGGGGTGGGGACCCCCAAAATGGGAGGGGGACCCCAAAATGGGCACAAGGACCCCAAAAATGGGGGTGGGGACCCCAAAAATGGGGGTGGGGACCCCAAAAATGGGGGTCGGGACCCCAAAAATGGTGGTGGGGACCCGAAAAATGGGTCTGGGCACCCCAAAATGGGGGTGGGGGACCCCAAAAATGGGGGTCGGGACCCTAAACATGGAGGTGGGGACCCTAAAAATGGGCACAGGGACCCCAAAAATGGGGGTGAGGACCCTAAAATGGGGGTGGGGGACCCCAAAAATGGGGGTGGGGACCCCAAAAATCGGGTCTGGGACCCCAAAAATGGGCACAGGGAGTCCAAAAATGGGGGTGGGGAACCCAAAAATGGGCACCCCAAAAATGAGCACCCCAAAAATGGCACCCCAAAAATGGGCACCCCAAAAATAGGCACCCTAAAAATGGGGGTGGGGACCCCAAAAATGGGGACCCCAAATATGGGCACCCCAAAAATGGGGGTGGGGACCCCAAAAATGAGGAGGGGGACCCCAAAAATCAGGTCAGGGACCCCAAAAATGGGGGTGGGGACCCTAAAAATGGGGGTGGGGACCCTAAAAATGGGGGTGGGGACCCCAAAAATGGGGTTGGGGAACCCAAAAATGGGGGTGGGGGACCCCAAAAATGGGGTTAGGGACCCCCCAAATGGGGTTGGGCACCCCAAAAATCGGGTTCGGGTCACCCCAAAATGGGGACGGGGACCCCCAAAATGGGGAGGGGGACCCTAAAACGGGGAGGGGGACCCCAAAAATGGGGGTGGGGACCCCAAAATGGGGGTGGGGACCCCAAAATGGGGGTGGGGAACCCAAAAATCGGGTCAGGGACCCCAAAAATGGGGGTGGGGACCCCAAAAATCGGGTCAGGGACCCCAAAAATGGGGGTGGGGACCCCAAAAATCGCATCAGGGACCCCAAAATGGGGGTGGGGACACTAAAAATGGGGGTGGGGACCCCAAAAATCGCATCAGGGACCCCAAAATGGGGGTGGGGAGCCCCAAAATGGGGGTGGGGACCCCAAAAATGGGGGGGGGAACCCCAAAATGGGGGAGGGGAACCCAAAAATGGGGGTGGGGACCCCAAAAATCGGGTCAGGGACCCCAAAAATGGGGGTGGGGATCCCAAAAATGGGGAGGGGGTCCCCAAAATGAGGAGGGGGACCCCTCACCCCCCTCCCCCGCCCAGCTGTGACGTCACTCGGCACCCCGGGGTCCCCGCCGCCCCCCGACCCCCGGGACCCCCAAATTGGGGGCGGCTCCAGCCCCGAGAGCGGCTCCGACAGCGACCCCCGCCCAGGTCAGGGACCCCCAAATGGGGAGGGGTCCCAAAATGGGGAGGGGGTCCCTGATTTTGGGGAGGGGTCTCAGATATTGGGGAGGGGTCCGGAAATGGGGAGGGGGGGCCGAATGTGGGGAGGGGTCCCCAAAGTTGGGGGGGGGTCCCAAAAGTTGGGGAGGGGTCCCCAAAGTGGGGAGGGGGCCCCGAAATGGGGAGGGGGTCCCCAAAATGGGGAGGGGGCCCCAAATGTTGGGGAGGGGGCGCCAAAGTGGGGAGGGGGGCCCGAAATGGGGAGGGGTCCCTGAAAATGGGGAGGGGTCTCCAAAATGGGGAGGGGTCCCTGAAATGGGGAGGGGGCTCGAAATGGGGAGGGGGGCCCGAAATGGGGAGGGGGTCCCCAAAATTTGGGGAGGGGTCCCAAAATGGGGAGGGGTCCCCAAAAGTGGGGAGGGTGTCCTGGAAATGGGGAGGGGGGCCCAAAATGGGGAGGGGGTCCCGAAAATGGGGAGGGGGGCCCGAATGTTGGGGGGGGGCTTGAAAATGGGGAGGGGGCCCCAAAATGGGGAGGGGTCCCGAAATGGGGAGGGGTCCCGAATGTTGGGGAGGGGTCGCAGTTTTAGGGAGGGGTCTCAGATTTTGGGGAGGGGTCCCCGAAATGGGGAGGGGGTCCCCGAAATGGGGAGGGGTCCCTGATTTTGGGGAGGGGTCTCAGATTTTGGGGAGGGGTCTCAGATTTTGGGGAGGGGTCCCCAAAGTTGGGGAGGGGTCTCAGATTTTGGGGAGGGGTCCCCGAAATGGGGAGGGGTCCCAAAATGGGGAGGGGAGTCCCAAAATGGGGAGGGGTCTCATAATTTGGGGAGGGGTCTCAAAAGTTGGGGAGGGGTCCCCAAAGTTGGGGAGGGGGCCCCGAAATGGGGAGGGGGCCCTGATTTTGGGGAGGGGTCTCGAAATGGGGAGGGGTCCCCAAAATGGGGAGGGGGGACCAAAATGGGGAGGGGTCCCCGAAATGGGGAGGGGTCGCGGAAATGGGGAGGGGTCCCAAAGTGGGGAGGGGGTCCCAAAGATGGGGAGGGGTCCCAAATGGGGAGGGGTCCCGAATGTTGGGGAGGGGTCCCAAAATTTGGGGAGGGGTCTCAAAAGGTGGGGAGGGGTCTCGAAATGGGGAGGGGTCCCAAAGTTGGGGAGGGGTCCCAAAATGGGGAGGGGGGCCTGAAAACGGGAGGGGGCCACGAAATGGGGAGGGGTCCTCAAAATGGGGAGGGGTCCCCGAATGTTGGGGGGGGCCGAAAATGGGGAGGGGGCCCAAAGTGGGGAGGGGTCCCAAAGGTGTTGGGGAGGGGTCCCTGATTTTGGGGAGGGGTCTCAGAAATGGGGAGGGGTCCCAAGAGTTGGGGAGGGGGTTCCCAAAGTGGGGAGGGGTCGCAAAATGGGGAGGGGGTCCCGAAATGGGGAGGGGGTCCTCAAATTTGGGGAGGGGGGTCCCGAAATGGGGAGGGGTCCCGAATGTTGGGGAGGGGTCCCTGAATTTGGGGAGGGGTCCCTGATTTTGGGGAGGGGTCCCTGAATTTGGGGAGGGGTCCCTGATTTTGGGGAGGGGTCTCAGATTTTGTGGAGGGGTCTCAGAATTTGGGAAGGGGTCCCTGATTTTGGGGAGGGGTCTGAGGGTATTGGGGAGGGGTCCCTGATTTTGGGGAGGGGTCTGAGGGTATTGGGGAGGGGTCCCTGATTTTGGGGAGGGGTCTCACATTTTGGGGAGGGGTCTCTGATTTTGGGGAGGGGTCTCAGATTTTGGGGAGGGGTCCCAGATTTTGGGGAGGGGTCTCAGATTTTGGGGAGGGGTCCCTGATTTTGGGGAGGGGTCTCGGGTGCCCCAATGTCCCCTCCCCCCCCCAGGACCCCTCCCCCATGGCCGCTCCAGCGAGTCCGAGGAGGGTGAGAGACCCCAGACCCAAATTAACCCAAAGAGACCCCAGACCCAATTTAACCCAAATTAACCCAAAGAGACCCCAGACCCATATTAACCCAAAATAACCCAGAGAGACCCCAGACCCAAATTAACCCAGAGAGACCCCAGACCCAAATTAACCCAAATTAACCCCAAGGAGACCCCAGACCCAATTTAACCCAAAGAGACCCCCGAGAGACCCCAGTCCCAAATTAACCCAAAGAGACCCCAGACCCAAATTAACCCCAAAGAGACCCCAAAGAGACCCCAGACCCAAATTAACCCAAATTAACCCAAAGAGACCCCAGACCCAAATTAACCCCTGAGAGACCCCAGACCCAATTTAACCCCGAGAGACCCCAGACCCAATTTAACCCTAATTAACCCCAAAGAGACCCCAGACCCAAATTAACCCCCGAGAGACCCCAGACCCAAATTAACCCCAAAGAGACCCCAGACCCAAATTAACCCAAATTAACCCCCGAGACCCCAGACCCAAATTAACCCCAAAGAGACCCCAGACCCAAATTAACCCAAAGAGACCCCAGACCCAAATTAACCCAGAGAGACCCCAGACCCAAATTAACCCTAATTAATCCCAAAGAGACCCCAGACCCAAATTAACCCCTGAGAGACCCCAGACCCAAATTAACCCCCGAGAGACCCCAGACCCAAATTAACCCAAATTACCCCGAGAGACCCCAGACCCAAATTAACCCAATTTAACCCCACAGAGACCCCAGACCCAATTTAAGCCCAGAGAGACCCCAGACCCAAATTAACCCCTGAGAGACCCCAGACCCAAATTAACCCCCGAGACCCCAGACCCAAATTAACCCTAATTAACCCACAGAGACCCCAGACCCAAATTAACCCCAAAGAGACCCCAGACCCAAATTAACCCCCGAGACCCCAGACCCAAATTAATCCTAATTAACCCCAAAGAGACCCCAGACCCAATTTAAGCCCAGAGAGACCCCAGACCCAAATTAACCCCTGAGAGACCCCAGACCCAAATTAACCCCCGAGACCCCAGACCCAAATTAACCCTAATTAACCCACAGAGACCCCAGACCCAAATTAACCCCAAAGAGACCCCAGACCCAAATTAACCCCCGAGACCCCAGACCCAAATTAATCCTAATTAACCCCAAAGAGACCCCAGACCCAAATTAACCCCTGAGAGACCCCAGACCCAAATTAACCCAAATTAACCCAAAGAGACCCCAGACCCAAATTAATCCTAATTAACCCCTGAGAGACCCCAGACCCAAATTAACACCCGAGAGACCCCAGACCCAAATTAACACCTGAGAGACCCCAGACCCAAATTAACCCAGAGACACCAGACCCAAATTAACCCAAATTAATCCCAGAGACCCCAGACCCAAATTAACCCAGAGAGACCCCAGACCCAAATCCCCAAAGCCCCCAGCCCCAAATCCCCCAAAGCCCCCAGCCCCAAATCCCCAAAGCCCCCAGCCCCAAATCCCCAAATCCCCCAGACCCAAATCCCCCAAAGCCCCCAGACCCAAATCCCCAAAGCCCCCAGCCCCAAATCCCCAAAGCCCCCAGCCCCAAATCCCCCAAATCCCCAAAGCCCCAAATCCCCCAAAGCCCCCAGACCCAAATCCCCAAAGCCCCCAGCCCCAAATCCCCAAAGCCCCCAGCCCCAAATCCCCAAAGCCCCCAGACCCAAATCCCCCAAAGCCCCCAGCCCCAAATCCCCAAAGCCCCCAGACCCAAATCCCCAAAGCCCCCAGCCCCAAATCCCCCAAAGCCCCCAGACCCAAATCCCCAAAGCCCCCAGCCCAAAATCCCCCAAAGCCCCCAGACCCAAATCCCCAAAGCCCCCAGACCCAAAGCCCCCAGCCCCAAATCCCCCAAAGCCCCCAGCCCCAAATTCCCAAAGCCCCCAGACCCAAATCCTCAAATCCCCCAGCCCCAAATCCCCCAAAGCCCCCAGACCCAAATCCCCAAATCCCCCAGCCCCAAATCCCCAAATCCCCCAGCCCCAAATCCCCAAAGCTCCCAGCCTCAAATCCCCCAAAGCCCCCAGCCCCAAATCCCCCAGCCCCAAATCCCCAAAGCCCCCAGCCCCAAATCCCCCAGAGCCCCCAGCCCCAAATCCCCCAAAGCCCCCAGCCCCAAATCCCCCAAGCCCCCAGACCCAAATCCCCCAGACCCAAATCCTGAGAGCCCCCAGCCCCAAATCCCCAAAGCCCCCAGACCCAAATCCCCAGAGCCCCCAGACCCAAATCCCCAAAGCCCCCAGCCCCAAATCCCCAGAGCCCCCAGACCCAAATCCCCAAATCCCCCAGACCCAAATCCCCAAAGCCCCCAGACCCAAATCCCCCAAAGCCCCCAGCCCCAAATCCCCAGAGCCCCCAGACCCAAATCCCCCAAATCCCCCAGACCCAAATCCCCAAATCCCCCAGACCCAAATCCCCCAAATCCCCCAGCCCCAAATCCCCAAAGCCCCCAAACCCAAATCCCCAAAGCCCCCAGCCCCAAATCCCCAAAGCCCCCAGCCCCAAATCCCCAAAGCCCCCAAAGCCCCCAGCCCCTAATCCCCAAAGCCCCCAGACCCAAATCCCCAAATCCCCCAAAGCCCCCAGACCCAAAGCCCCCAGACCCAAATCCCCAAAGCCCCCAGCCCCAAATCCCCAAAGCCCCCAGCCCCAAATTCCCGAAGCCCCCAGCCCCAAATCCCCAGAGCCCCCAGCCCCAAATCCCCCAGAGCCCCCAGACCCAAATCCCCCAAAGCCCCCAGCCCCAAATCCCCCAAAGCCCCCAGACCCAAATCCCCAAAGCCCCCAAAGCCCCCAGCCCCAAATCCCCAAATCCCCCAGCCCCAAATCCCCAAAGCCCCCAGCCCCAAATCCCCAAATCCCCCAGCCCCAAATCCCCAAAGCCCCCAGCCCCAAATCCCCCAAATCCCCCAGACCCAAATCCCCAAATCCCCCAGCCCCAAATCCCCCAAATCCCCCAGCCCCAAATCCCCAAAGCCCCCAGACCCAAATCCCCCAAATCCCCAGCCCCAAATCCCCAAAGCCCCCAAACCCAAATCCCCAAAGCCCCCAGCCCCAAATCCCCAAAGCCCCCAGACCCAAATCCCCAAAGCCCCCAGCCCCAAATCCCCCAAATCCCCAGCCCCAAATCCCCCAAAGCCCCCAAACCCAAATCCCCAAATCCCCCAGCCCCAAATCCCCAAAGCCCCCAGACCCAAATCCCCCAAGCCCCCAGACCCAAACCCCCCAGAGCCCCCAGCCCCAAATCCCCCAGAGCCCCCAGCCCCAAATCCCCCAGAGCCCCCAGCCCCAAATCCCCCAAAGCCCCCAGCCCCAAATCCCCCAAAGCCCCCAGACCCAAATCCCCCAAATCCCCCAGACCCAAATCCCGACTTGGGGGTCATTGGGTGACATTGGGGGGGGACCCAGAGGTGACAGAGGTGACCCAGAGGTGACCCAGAGGTGACCCAAAGGTGACAGAGGTGACCCAAAGGTGACCCAGAGGTGACCCAAAGGTGACCCAAAGGTGACCCAAAGGTGACCCAGAGGTGACCCAGAGGTGACCCAAAGGTGACAGAGGTGACAGAGGTGACCCAGAGGTGACCCAAAGGTGACCCAAAGGTGACCCAGAGGTGACCCAGAGGTGACCCAGAGGTGACCCAAAGGTGACAGAGGTGACCCAAAGGTGACCCAGAGGTGACCCAGAGGTGACAAAGGTGACAGAGGTGACCCAAAGGTGACCCAAAGGTGACAAAGGTGACAAATGTGTCCCCACAGGTCTCTGACGCTCCCGATGGATTCTCCCGTGGGACCTTCCGGAACCTTCCCTGAGTGTCCCCAAATGTCCCCAAATGTCCCCTTGGTGTCCCCCATTGTCCGGGGGGGCCCTGGGGGTGGCCGGACCCCCCCAAGTGTCCCCCCCGTGTCCCCTCCCCCACCCCAAATAAAAACTGCAGAGTCACCGCGGGGACATTGGGGACATTGGGGGACACTGGGGACATTGGGGACATTGGGGGGATTGGGGACATTGGGGGGACATTGGGGGGATTGGGGGCATTGGGGACATTGGGGACATTGGGGACATTGGGGGGACATTTGGGGACATTGGGGACATTGGGGGGATTGGGGACATTGGGGACATTGGGGACATTGGGGACATTGGGGGGACATTGGGGACATTGGGGACATTGGGGACATTGGGGACATTGGGGGGACATTTGGGGACATTGGGGACATTGGGGGGATTGGGGACATTGGGGACATTGGGGACATTGGGGACATTGGGGGGACATTGGGGACATTGGGGACATTGGGGACATTGGGGACATTGGGGACATTGGGGACATTGGGGGGATTGGGGACATTGGGGACATTGGGGACATTGGGGACATTGGGGGACATTGGGGGACATTGGGGACATTGGGGACATTGGGGACATTGGGGGACATTGGGGACATTGGGGGGATTGGGGACATTGGGGACATTGGGGGCATTGGGGACATTGGGGGACATTGGGGACATTGGGGACATTGGGGGGATTGGGGACATTGGGGACATTGGGGACATTGGGGACATTGGGGACAGTGGGGACATCGGGGACATTGGGGGGACATTGGGGACATTGGGGGGACATTGGGGGACATTGGGGACATTGGGGACATTGGGGACATTGGGGACACTGGGGACATTGGGGGGACATTGGGGACATTGGGGACATTGGGGACATTGGGGACATTGGGGACATTGGGGACAGTGGGGACATCGGGGACATTGGGGGGACATTGGGGACATTGGGGGGACATTGGGGGACATTGGGGACATTGGGGACATTGGGGGGACATTGGGGACATTGGGGGGACATGGGGACATTGGGGGGACATTGGGGACATTGGGGACATTGGGGACATTTGGGACATTGGGGGGACATTGGGGACACTGGGGGCATTGGGGACATTGGGGGCATTGGGGACATTGGGGACATTGGGGGCATTGGGGGGACATTGGGGACATTGGGGACATTGGGGACATTGGGGGCATTGGGGACATTGGGGGGACATTGGGGACATTGGGGGGACATTGGGGACATTGGGGGCATTAGGGACATCATTGGGGACACTGGGGGCATTGGGGACATTGGGGGGACATTGGGGACATTGGGGGGACATTGGGGACATTGGGGGGACATTGGGGACACTGGGGGCATTGGGGACATTGGGGGGACATTGGGGGGATCCAACTCCAGATCCCAATTCCCTTTCCCGGATCCCAATTCCCGTTCCCAGATCCCAATTCCCTTTCCCGGATCCCAATTCCCATCCCAGATCCCAATTCCCTTTCCAATTCCCAATTCCCATTCCCAGATCCCAATTCCCGTCCCAAATCCCTCCCGGATGACGGAAAAGTCGGGAAGTGGCGGATCCGATGTTTTATGGAGATCTGGAGGTGGGGAGCACACGGCCGCTCCCGCGTGGAATTTCGGCATTCCCACATGGAATTTGGGCATTCCCACACGGATCCTGACATTCCCATATGGAATTTTGGCATTTCCCAGATGGCATCCTGGTATTCCCACACAGAACTTGGGCATCCCCATATGGAATTTGGGCATTCCCAGACGGATCTTGGCGTTCCCATATGGAATTTCGGTGTTCCCACCCGGGATCCCGACATTCCCACACGAGATCCTGGTGCTCCCATGCGGAATTTCGGCGTTCCCATATGGAATTTGGGCATTCCCACACGGGATCCTGACATTCCCACCCGGGATCCCGGCATTCCCACATGGATCCCGGGATATTCCCACATGGAATTTGGGCATTCCCACACAAATCCTGAAATTCTGACATGGGATCTCAACATTCCCACATGGGATCCCGACATTCCCACACTGAATTTGGGCATTCCCATATGGAATTTCGGCATTCCCACATGGAATTTCGCCGTTCCCACCCGGGATCCCGACATTCCCTTATGGGATCCTGGTGTTCCCGCATGGAATTTCGGCATTCCCACATGGAATTTGGGCATTCCCAGACGGATCATGGTGTTCCCATATGGAATTTGGGCATTCCTAGATGGCATCCCAGTATTCCCACATGGAATTTGGGCATTCCCACGTGGAATTTCGGTGTTCCCACACGGATCCTGACATTCCCATATGGAATTTGGGCATTCCCACACGGATCCTAACATGGGATCCCGGCATTCCCACATAGATCCTGACATTCCCATATGGAATTTTGGCATTTCCCAGATGGCATCCCGGTATTCCCACGTGGAATTTGGGCATTCCCACGTGGATCCTGACATTCCCACACGGAATTTCGGTGTTCCCATGTGGATCCCGACATTCCCATATGGGATCCCGGTGTTCCCACAACATCATTTCGGTGTTCCCACGCGGATCCCGACATTCCCATATTGAATTTGGGCGTTTCCCAGATGGATCCCGGTATTCCCACACGGAATTTGGGCGTTTCCATATACAATTTCGGCATTCTCATGTGAGATCCCAACATTCCCAAGTGGGATCGTGACATTCCCAGGTGGGATCCCGGAATTCCCGTATGGAATTTGGGCTTTCCTACATGGGGATCCCGGCATTCCCACACGGAATTTGGGCATTCCCACACAGATCTTGACATTCCCATATGGAATTTCGGCATTCCCAGATGGATCCCAGCGTTCCCACATGGAATTTGGGCATTCCCACACGGATCCTGACATTCCCACATGGGATCCCGGTGTTCCCATATGGGATCCTGGCGTTCCCACATGGAATTTGGGCATTCCCACACAAATCTTGACATTCTGACACGGGATCCCGACATTCCCACATGGAATTTCGGCATTCCCACACGGAATTTGGGCATTCCTACATGGGATCTCAGCATTCCCACATGGGATCCCAGAATTCTCATGCTGGATCCCAACATTCCCACACAGGATCCCAACATTCCCACATGGGATCCTGGCATTCCCATATGGAATTTCGTCATTTCCCAGACGGATCCCGGCATTCCCACGTGGAATTTGGGAATTCCCACACGGGATCCCTACATTCCTGTATGGGATCCAGACTGGTTCCCACATGGAATCCCGACTCGATCCCGTCTGGAATCCTGACTCGATCCCGTGTGGAATTCCAACTTGATCCCACATGGAATTCCGACACATTCCCACATGGAATTCCGACTCGATCCCGTGTGGAATTCCGACTCGATCCCGTGCGGGATCCCGACACATTCCCACATGGAATTACGACTCGATCCCAAGGGACAAATCCCGGAGCGGGGAAATCCGGGAATGCCAAACCACAGAAATAATCCGGGAATGCCAAACCGGGATCCTGCTGGAATTCCAGCCGGATTTCCCAAAATTCCAGCAGGATCCCCCCCAAAATTTCAGTGGGATCCCCTGGAATTCCAGTGGGATTTCCCGGAATTCCAGCGGGATCCCCCAAAATTCCAGTGTGGGAATCCCAGAATTCCTGTGGGATCCTCCAAAATTCCAGCAGCATTTCCCAAAATTCCACTGGGATTTCCCAGAATTTGAGCAGGATCCCCCAGAATTCCATCAGATCCCCTGGAATTCCAATGAGATTCCCCAAAATTCCTGAAGGATCCCCCAGAATTCCAGTGGGATCCCCCAGAATTCCATCAGATCCCCTGGAATTCCAGCAGGATCCCCCCACAATTCCAGCGAGATTCCCCAAAATTCCAGTGTGGGAATCCCAGAATTCCTGTGGGATCCTCCAAAATCCCAGCAGATTTCCCAAAATTCCTGAAGGATCCCCCAGAATTCCAGCGAGATTCCCCAGAATTCCGGCAGGATCTCCCCAAAATTCCAGCAGGATGTCCCGGAATTCCAGCGGGATTTCCCAAAATTCCAGTGAATTTCCCAGAATTCCAGCAGGATCTCCCCAAAATTCCTGCAGGATCCCCCAAAATTCCAGCAGGGAATAAAACCCAGGAATGCCCAAAGCGGGAATTGGGGCTCTGTGGGGCTGGGAGGTTTTGGGATCCTGTGGGGTTTTGGGGTCCTGTTGGATTTTGGGGTCCTGGGGTGTTGGAACACTCCCAGATTTTGGGGTTCCGTGGGATTTTGGGATCCCACGGGATTTGGGCAGTGCCAGGTTTTGGGGTCCTGTGGGATTTTGGGATCCCACTGGATTTTGGGGTCCTGGAGCATTCCAGGTTTTCCCGGGATTTTGGGGTCCCGTGGGATTTGGGCAGCACCAGATTTTGGGATCCCACTGGATTTTGGGATCCCGTGGGATTTTGGGGTCCCCCTGTTTTGGGAATCTCGCAGCAGTGCCGGATTTTTGGGGTCCCGTTGGATTTTGGGGTCCCGTTGGATTTTGGGGTCCCATTGGATTTTGGGGTCCTGAGGTGTTGGAACACTCCCAGATTTTGAGGTTCTGTGGGATTTTGGGATCCCACTGCATTTTGGGGTTCTGTGGGATTTGGGCAGCCCCAGGTTTTGGGGTCCCACAGGATTTTGGGGTCCCACTGGATTTTGGGGTTCTGTGGGATTTTGGGATCCCACTGGATTTTGGGGTTCCCCTGGTTTTGGGAATCCTGTGGCACTCTCCGGTTTTGGGGTTCCGTGGGATTTTGGGGCTCTGTGGGATTTGGGCAGTGCCAGGTTTTGGGGTGCCACTGGATTTTGGGATCCCACAGGATTTTGGGGTTCCCCCGGCTTTGGGAATCCTGTGGCAGTGCCGGATTTTGGGATCCCGTTGGATTTTGGGGTCCCGTTGGATTTTGGGGTCCTGGGGTGTTGGAACACTCCCAGATTTTGGGGTTCCCCTGGATTTTGGGGCTCTGTGGGATTTGGGCAGCGCCAGGTTTTGGGGTGCCACTGGATTTTGGGGTTCCCATGGATTTTGGGGTCCCATTGGATTTTGGGGTCCTGTGGTGTTGGAACACTCCCAGATTTTGGGGTTCCATGGGGTTTTGGGGTCCTGTGGGATTTGGGCAGTGCCAGGTTTTGGGGTCCTGTGGGATTTTGGGATCCCACTGGATTTTGGGGTCCTGGAGCATTCCAGGTTTTCCCGGGATTTTGGGGTCCCGTGGGATTTGGGCAGCACCAGATTTTGGGATCCCACTGGATTTTGGGATCCCATTGGATTTCGGGGTCCCCCTGGTTTTGGGAATCCTGTGGCAGTGCCGGATTTTGGGGTGCCCATGGATTTTGGGGTCCTGAGGTGTTGGTACATTCCCAGATTTTGGGGTTCTGTGGGATTTGGGCAGTGCCAGGTTTTGGGATGCCTCAGGATTTTGGGATCCCAATGGATTTTGGGGTTCTGTGGGATTTTGGGATCCCACAGGATTTTGGGGCTCCCTCGGCTTTGGGAATCTCGTGGCAGTGCCGGATTTTGGGGTGCCGTGGGATTTTGGGGTTCTGTGGGATTTGGGCAGTGCCAGGTTTTGGGGTCCTGTGGGATTTTGGGATCCCGTTGGATTTTGGGGTTCCGTGGGATTTTGGGGTTCCCCTGGTTTTGGGAATCCTGTGGCAGTGCCGGATTTTGGGGTCCCACTGGATTTTGGGATCCTGTGGGATTTGGGCAGTGCCAGGTTTTGGGGTCCCGTTGGATTTTGGGATCCCGTTGGATTTTGGGGTCCTGAGGTGTTGGGACACTCCCAGATTTTGGGGTCCCCCTGGATTTTGGGATCCCACTGGATTTTGGGATCCCACAGGATTTTGGGGTTCTGTGGGATTTGGGCAGTGCCAGGTTTTGGGGGTCCCACAGGATTTTGGGATCCTGTTGGATTTTGGGGCTCTGTGGGATTTGGGCAGTGCCAGGTTTTGGGGTCCCACAGGATTTTGGGATCCCACAGGATTTTGGGGTTCCCCTGGCTTTGGGAATCTTGTGGCAGTGCCGGATTTTGGGGTCCTGTGGGATTTTGGGGTTCCCATGGATTTTGGGGTCATGAGGTGTTGGAACATTCCCAGATTTTGGGGTCCCACAGGATTTTGGGGTTCTGTGGGATTTGGGCAGCGCCAGGTTTTGGGGTGCCACTCGATTTTTGGGATCCTGTTGGATTTTGGGGTTCTGTGGGATTTTGGGGTCCCGTGGGATTTGGGCAGTGCCAGGTTTTGGGGTCCTGTGGGAATTTGGGGTCCCATTGGATTTTGTGATCCCATTGGATTTTGGGATCCTGAGGTGTTGAAACACTCCTAGATTTTGGGGTCCCACGGGATTTTGGGGTTCCGTTGGATTTTGGGGTCCTGCGGTGTTGGAACACTCCCAAGTTTTGGGGTTCCGTGGGATTTTGGGGCTCTGTGGGATTTGGGCAGCCCCAGGTTTTGGGGCGCCTCAGGATTTTGGGGTCCCGCTGGATTTTGGGGTTCTGGGGTGTTGGAACACTCCCAGATTTTGGGGTCCCGTTGGATTTTGGGGTTCTGTGGGATTTGGGCAGTGCCAGGTTTTGGAGTCCTGTGGGATTTTGGGATCCCGTGGATTTTGGGGTCCCGGGGAATTCCAGGTTTTCCTGGGATTTTGGGGGGATCCTGCAGGATTTTGGGATCCTGGGGAAGACCAGGATTCCCCGGGATTTTGAGATCCCCGGATTTCGGCTTTGGGATTTGGGAAACGCCTCGGAAGAACAAAAACTGCGGGAATCCTCCGGGATGCTCCAGGACTTTCTGGGATCTTCTGCGATTCTCTGGGATGCTCCGGGATTTTCTGGGATCCTCTGGGATGTTCCAGAATGTTCCAGGATTCTCTGGGATTTCCCGGGATGGTTTGGGACCCTCCAGGATGTTCCAGGACCCCCCCAGGATTTCCCGGGATTTGGGACCCTCCAGGATGTTCCGGGATCCTCCAGGATTTCCCGGAATTCCTCAGGATTTGGGATCCTCCAGGACGTTCCAGGATCCTCCGGGATTTCCCAGGATTTCCTGGGATTTGGGATCCTCCAGGATGTTCCAGGATCCTCCGGGATTTCCTGGAATTCCTCAGGATGTTCTGGGACCCTCCAGGATTTCTCGGAATTCTCCAGGAATGTTCAGGATCTTCCAGGCTCCTCCAAGATTTCCTGGGATTCCCCAGGATGATCCGGGACCCCCCCGGGATTTCCCGGGATTTGGGATCCTCCAGGATGTTCCAGGATCCTCCGGGATTTCCCAGAATTCCCTGGGACTTGGGATCCTCTGGGATTTCCCGGAATTCCCCGGGATGGTTTGGGACCCTCCAGAATGTTCCAGGATCCTCCGGGATTTCCCGGAATTCTTCAGGATGTTCCAGGATCCTCCGGAATTCCCCGGGATTTGGGATCCTCCAGAATGTTCCAGGATCCTCCAGGATTTCCCGGATTTCCTCAGGATGTTCCGGGATCCTCCGGGATTTCCTGGAATTTGGGATTCCCCAGGATGCTCCAGGATCCTCTGAGATTTCCCGGAATTCCCCGGGATTTGGGACCCTCCAGGATGTTCCGGGATCCTCCGGGATTTCCTGGAATTCCTCAGGATGTTCCAGAATCCTCCGGGATTTCCCAGAATTTCCCGGGATTTGGGATTCTCCAGGATGTTCCAGGATCCTCCAGGATTTCCTGGAATTCTTTAGGATTTGGGATCCTCCAGGATGTTCCGGGATTTCCCGGAATTCCCCGGGATGCTCCGGGGTCGGCGCCGAGCAGGACGAGTCCCTGGGTGCTCCCGTCCCTCTCCGGGATTTTTTTGGGATCCTTTTTGGGATCGTGTCCGGGATCGTGTCCCTGTCCCTGTCCCGCTCCCGGATTTAGGACCCGGCCGGGTCCGGGGGCGCGGGATCCTCGGGATACTCCTCGGGATACTCCTCGGGATACTCCTGGGAATACTCCTCGGGATATTCCCGGGAATACTCCTCGGGATACTCGTCCCCGTCCGGGAAGCACTGCCCCTCCCCCAGCTCGAAAAAGATGGGAAGATCCGCGGATCCGACGTCCACGGCGCTGGAATCCACCAGGAACAGCGGCTGGACCGTGCAGGGAACCAGCTGCTTCCCTGGAAAAACGGGAAAAATGGGATTGGGATTGGGAAAATCCACCAGGAACAGCGGCTGGACTGTGCACGGAACCAGCTGCTTCCCTGGAAAAACGGGAATTCGGGAATGTGGGATTTGGATAATCCACCAGGAACAGCGGCTGGACCGTGCACGGAACCAGCTGCTTCCCTGGAAAAACGGGAATTCGGGAATGTGGGATTGGGATAATCCACCAGGAACAGCGGCTGGACCGTGCAGGGAATGAGCTGCTTCCCTGGAAAAATGGGAATTCGGGAATTTGGGAATGTGGGATTGGGATAATCCACCAGGAACAGCGGCTGGACTGTGCAGGGAACCAGCTGCTTCCCTGGAAAAACGGGAATTCGGGAATTTGGGAATGTGGGATTGGGATCATGCACTGTGCACGGAACCAGCTGCTTCCCTGGAAAAACGGGAAAAATGGGATTGGGATAATCCACCAGGAACAGCGGCTGGACTGTGCACGGAACCAGCTGCTTCCCTGGAAAAATGGGAAAAATGGGATTGGGATTGGGAAAATGGGATTGGGATCATGGACCGTGCAGGGAATGAGCTGCTTCCCTGGAAAAACGGGAATTTGGGAATTTGGGATTGGGAAAAATGGGATTGGGATCATGCACTGTGCAGGGCAGGTGCTGCTTTCCTGGAAAAACGGGAAAAATGGGATTGGGAATGTGGGATTGGGATAATCCACCAGGAACAGCGGCTGGACTGTGCACGGAACCAGCTGCTTCCCTGGAAAAATGGGAAAAATGGGATTGGGATTGGGAAAATGGGATTGGGATCATGGACCGTGCAGGGAATGAGCTGCTTCCCTGGAAAAACGGGAATTTGGGAATTTGGGAGTGGGAAAAATGGGATTGGGATCATGCACTGAGCAGGGAACCAGCTGCTTCCCTGGAAAAACGGGAAAAATGGGATTGGGAGTGGGAAAAATGGGATTGGGAATGGGAAAAATGGGATTGGGATCATGCACCGTGCAGGGCAGCAGCTGCTTCCATGGAAAAACGGGAATTCGGGAATTTGGGAGTGGGAAAAATGGGAATTTGGGATTGGGAAAAATGGGATTGGGATCATGCACTGTGCAGGGCAGCAGCTGCTTCCCTGGAAAAACGGGAATTCGGGAATTTGGGATTGGGAAAAATGGGATTGGGATTGGGAATATGGGATTGGGATTGGGAAAAATGGGATTGGGATCATGCACCGTGCACGGCAGCAGCTGCTTCAGTGGAAAAACGGGAATTTGGGAATTTGGGATTGGGAAAAATGGGATTGGGATCATGCACTGAGCAGGGCACCAGCTGCTTCCCTGGAAAAATGGGAATTCGGGAATTTGGGATTGGGAAAAATGGGAATTTGGGAATTTGGGATTGGGAAAAATGGGATTGGGATCATGCACTGAGCAGGGAACCAGCTGCTTCCCTGGAAAAATGGGAATTCGGGATTGGGAAAGGGAAAAATGGGATTGGGAATGGAAAAATGGGATTGGGATTGGGAAAAATGGGATTGGGATTGGGAAAAATGGGATTGGGATCATGCACCGTGCAGGGAAGGAGCTGCTTCCCTGGAAAAACGGGAATTTGGGAATTTGGGATTGGGAAAAATGGGATTGGGATCATGAACCGAGCAGGGAACCAGCTGCTTCCCTGGAAAAACGGGAAAAATGGGATTGGGATTGGGATAATGCAACAGGAACAGCGGCTGGACTGTGCAGGGCACCAGCTGCTTCCCTGGAAAAACGGGAATTTGGGAATTTGGGATTGGGAAAAATGGGATTGGGAAAGGGAAAAATGGGATTGGGATAATGCACCGTGCAGGGAATGAGCTGCTTCCCTGGAAAAACGGGAATTCGGGAATTTGGGAATGTGGGATTGGGATAATCCACCAGGAACAGCGGCTGGACTGTGCAGGGAACCAGCTGCTTCCCTGGAAAAACGGGAATTTGGGAATTTGGGATTGGGAAAAATGGGATTGGGATCATGCATTGAGCACAGAACCAGCTGCTTGCCTGGAAAAATGGGAATTCGGGAATTTGGGAGTGGGAAAAATGGGATTGGTAATATGGGATTGGGATCATGCACCGTGCAGGGAACCAGCTGCTTCCCTGGAAAAACGGGAATTCGGGAATGTGGGAATGTGGGATTGGGATAATCCACCAGGAACAGCGGCTGGACCGTGCAGGGAACCAGCTGCTTCCGTGGAAAAATGGGAATTTGGGATTGGGAATGGGAAAAATGGGATTGGGATCATGCACCGTGCAGGGCACCAGCTGCTTCCCTGGAAAAATGGGAATTCAGGAATTTGGGAATGTGGGAATGGGATAATCCACCAGGAACAGCGGCTGGACCGTGCAGGGAACCAGCTGCTTCCCTGGAAAAATGGGAAAAATGGGATTGGGAGTGGGAAAAATGGGATTGGGATCATGCACTGAGCAGGGAACCAGCTGCTTCCCTGGAAAAACGGGAATTTGGGATTGGGATTGGGAAAAATGGGATTGGGATCATGCCCCGAGCAGGGAACCAGCTGCTTCCCTGGAAAAACGGGAAAAATGGGATTGGGAGTGGGAAAAATGGGATTGGGATCATTCACCATGCAGGGATCCAGCTGATCCCCTGGAAAAACAGGAATTTGGGATTGGGATTGGGAAAAATGGGATTGGGAATGGGAAAAATGGGATTGGGATAATGCACTGTGCAGGGAACCAGCTGCTTCCCTGGAAAAATGGGAATTCGGGAATTTGGGATTGGGAAAAATGGGATTGGGATCATTCACCGTGCAGGGCAGCAGCTGCTTCCCTGGAAAAACGGGAATTCGGGAATGTGGGATTGGGAATGTGGGATTGGGAATGTGGGATTGGGAATGGGAAAAATGGGATTGGGATTGGGATAATCCACCAGGAACAGCGGCTGGACTGTGCACGGAACCAGCTGCTTCCCTGGAAAAACGGGAATTCGGGATTGGATTGGGAAAAATGGGATTGGGATTGGGAAAAATGGGATTGGGATCATGCACTGTGCAGGGCAGGTGATGCTTCCATAGAAAAATGGGAATTTGGGAATTTGGGATTGGGAAAAACGGGATTTGGATTGGGAAAAATGGGATTGGGATTGGGGAAAATGGGATTGGGAATGGGAAAAATGGGATTGGGAATGGGAAAAATGGGATTGGGATCATGCACCGTGCACGGAACCAGCTGCTTCCCTGGAAAAACAGGAATTTGGGAATTTGGGATCAGGAATATGGGATTGGGATCATGCACTGAGCAGGGCAGCAGCTGCTTCCCTGGAAAAACGGGAATTCGGGATTGGGAATGGGAAAAATGGGATTGGGATTGGGAAAAATGGGATTGGGATCATGCACCGAGCAGGGCAGCAGCTGCTTCCCTGGAAAAACGGGAATTCGGGAATTTGGGATTGGGATAATCCACCAGGAACAGCGGCTGGACTGTGCAGGGAACCAGCTGCTTCCCTGGAAAAACGGGAAAAATGGGATTGGGATTGGGAATATGGGATTGGGATTGGGAAAAATGGGATTGGGATCATGCACTGTGCAGGGCACCAGCTGCTTCCCTGGAAAAACGGGAATTTGGGATTTGGGATTGGGAAAAATGGGATTGGGATTGGGAAAAATGGGATTGGGATTGGGAAAAATGGGATTGGGATCATGCACTGTGCAGGGAACCAGCTGCTTCCCTGGAAAAACGTGAATTTGGGAATTTGGGATCGGGAAAAATGGGATTGGGATTGGGAAAAATGGGATTGGATTTATTCACCGTGAGGGGAACAAGCTGCTTCCCTGGAAAAACGGGAATTTGGGAATTTGGGAATGTGGGATTGGGATAATGCACCATGCAGGGAACCAGCTGCTTCCCTGGAAAAATGGGAATTTGGGAATTTGGGAATGTGGGATTGGGATCATGCACCAAGAACAGCGGCTGGACTGTGCAGGGCAGCAGCTGCTTCCCTGGAAAAACGGGAATTCGGGAATTTGGGAGTGGGAAAAATGGGATTGGGATCATGCACCGTGCAGGGAACCAGCTGCTTCCCTGGAAAAACGGGAATTCGGGAATTTGGGAATGGAAAAAATGGGATTGGGATTGGGAAAAATGGGATTGGGATAATGCACTGTGCAGGGAATGAGCTGCTTCCCTGGTAAAATGGGAATTCGGGAATTTGGGATTTGGAAAAATGGGATTGGGATTGGGAATATGGGATTGGGATCATGCACCGTGCAGGGCACCAGCTGCTTCCCTGGAAAAACGGGAATTCGGGAATTTGGGATTGGAAAAAATGGGATTGGGATCATGCACTGAGCAGGGAACCAGCTGCTTCCCTGGAAAAATGGGAATTTGGGAATGGGAAAAATGGGATTGGGAATGGGAAAAATGGGAATCCGGGAATTTGGGATTGGGAAAAATGGGATTGGGATCATGCACCGTGCAGGGCAGCAGCTGCTTCCCTGGAAAAACGGGAAAAATGGGATTGGGATTGGGAAAAATGGGATTGGGATCATGCACTGAGCAGGGAAGGAGCTGCTTCCCAGGAAAAACGGGAATTCGGGAATTTGGGAATGTGGGATTGGGAAAAATGGGATTGGGATGGGGAAAAATGGGATTGGGATTGGGAAAAATGGGATTGGGACCAGGCACCGTGCAGGGCAGCAGCTGCTTCCCTGGAAAAACGGGAATTCAGGATTTGGATTGGGAAAAGTGGGATTGGGAATGGGAAAAATGGGATTGGGATAATGCACCGTGCAGGGAAGGAGCTGCTTCCCTGGAAAAACGGGAATTCGGGAATGTGGGAATGTGGGATTGGGATCATGCACCGAGCAGGGCAGCAGCTGCTTCCATGGAAAAACGGGAATACCGGAGTTCTCCATTCCCACAAAATCCCAAATTCTTTTGGGAATACTGGAGTCCCCCATTCCCAAAATTCCCAAAATTCCCATTGGGATACTGGAGTCCCCCTTTCCCAAGTATCCCAAGTATCCCAAAAATCCCAAATTCCCAAACTTCCCAGTGGGATACCAGAGTCCTCCATTCCCAAATCCCAAAATATCCCAAAAATCCCAAATTTCCAGTGGGAATACTGAAGTCCCCCATTCCCAAAACTCCCAAATATCCCAAAATTCCCATTAGGATACTGAGGTCTCCCATTCCCAAAAATCCCCTAAAAATCCCCAAAATTCCCAGTGGGATATTGAAGTCCTCCATTCCCAAAAATCCCAAATATCCCAAAATTCCCATTGGGAATACCGGAGTCACCCATTCCCAAATCCCCAAAACTCCCAAATCCCCAAAACTCCCAAATCCCCAAAACTCCCAAATCCCCAAAACTCCCAAATCCCCAAAACTCCCAAATTCCCAAAATTCTTGTGGGAATACCAGAGTCCCCCACTCCCAAATCCCAAAAAATCCCGAAAATCCCAAATTCCCAGTGGGAATACTGAAGTCCCCCATTCCCAAAATTCCCAAAACATCCCAAAATTCCCATTGAGAATACTGGAGTCCCCCATTCCCAAAATTCCCACTGGGATACCGGAATCCCCCATTCCCAAAAATCCCAAATTCTCAAAATTCCCAATGGGATACCGAAGTCCCCCATTCCCAAAAATCCCCAAAATTCCCAGTGGGATACCGGAGTCCCCCTTTCCCAAATCCCAAAATATCCCAAAAATCCCAAATTCCCATTGGGAATACTGAAGTCCCCCATTCCCAACAATCCCAAAAATCTCAAATATCCCAAAATTCCCATTGGTATACCGGAGTCCCTCATTCCCAAAAATCCCCAAATTTCCATTGGGATACCGGAGTCCTCAATTCCCAAAAATCTCAAATATCCCAAAATTCCTGTGGTAATACCGGAGTCCCCATTCCTGAAAATCCCAAATTCCCAAAATTCCCATTGGGATACCAGAGTTCTCCATTCCCAAATATCCCAAAATTCCCGAGGGAATACTGGAGTCCCCCATCCCCAAAATTCCCATTGGGATACTGGAGTCCCCCATTCCCAAATACCCCAAAACCCCCGAAATTCCCGAAATTCCCGCGGGAATACCGGAATCGCCGGCTCCGGGCTCGGCCTCGGCGGGTTTCTGCTGCTCCTGGTTGGAGAGGAGATCCTGGATCTGCCGGAATTCCAGGAATCATTTCCGCTCATCCTTTTGGGATGGAGCTTTTGGGGCTTTCCGGGGGATCCCAAACGGTCCCGGAAACGATCCCGGGGGGGAAATCCCGGGAATGGGGCAGAGGATCCGGGGATGGATGGGAACGGACCCGGAGCGGATCCCGGTCCTGATCCCCATCCCGGCCCCGATCCCGATCCCAACCCCAATCCCGATCCCAACCCTGATCCCGGCCCTGATCCCAATCCCATTCCAAATTTGATCCCAATCCCAACCCTGATCCCAATCCCAATCCCAATCCCAGTCCCGATCCCGATCTCAGCCCTGATCCCGATCCCAGACCCAATCCCGATCTCAATCCCGATCCTGATCCTGATCCCGGCCCCGATCCCGATCCCAATCCCGATCCAAATCCCAACCCTGATCCCAATTCCAACCCTGATCCCGATCCCAATCCCAGCCCCAATCCCGATCCCAGCCCTGATCCCAATCCCAGCCCGGATCCTGATCCCGATCCCAATCCCAATCCTGACCCAGCCCTGATCCCAATCCCAGCCCCAATCCCGATCCCAATTTCAGTCCTAATCCTGATTCCAGCCCCGATCCCAATCCTGGCACCGATCCCGATCCCAATCCCAAACCTTTATCCCAGCCCTGATCCTGATCTTGGCCCTGATCCCAATCCCGATCCCAGCCGTGATCCCAATCCCATTCCTAATGCCAATCCTGATCCTGATCCCAATCCCAGCCCCAATCCCGATCCCAGCCCTAATCCTGATCCCAATTCCAGTCCTAATCCTGATTCCAGCCTCGATCCCAATCCCGGCCTCGATCCCAATCCCAGCCCTGATCCCGATCCCAACCCCGATCCTGATCCCAGCCCCGATCCCGATCCCAATCCCAAACCTTTATCCCAGCCCTGATCCCAACCCTGATCCCAATCCCAGTCTCAACCCTGATCCCAATCCCAGCCCTGACCCCAATCCCAGCTCCGATCCTGATCCCAATCCCAATCCCAATCCTGATCCCATTCCAAATTTGATACCAATCCCAGTCCTGATCCCAATCCCAATCCCATTTCCAACCCTGATCCCAATCCCAGCCCTGATCCCAATCCCAGCCCTGATCCCAATCCCAGCCCTGATCCCAATTCCAGTCCTAATCCAAATCCCAGCCCCAATCCCAATCCCAAATCTTTATCCCAACCCTGATCCCAATCCCATTCCCAACCCTGATCCCAGTCTCAATCCTGATCCCGATCTCATTCCCAATCCTGACCCTGATCTCATTCCCAATCCCAATCCCAATCCCAACCCCGATCCCGATCCCAGCCCTGATCCCAATCTCAACCCTGATCCCAATCCCGACCCTGATCCTGATCCCGACTCTGATCCCAATCCCAACCCAGATCCCAATTCCAACCCCGATCCCGATCCCAGCCCTGATCCCGATCCCGGCCCCAATCCCAATCCTGATCCCGATCCCAATCCCAAACCTTTATCCCAGCCCTGATTCCAATCCCAGCCCTGATCCCAATCCCAACCCTGATCCCAATCCCAATCCCAATTCTGGCCCCAATCCCAATCCTGACCCCAATCCCAATCCCAAACCTTTATACCAGCCCCGATCCCAATCCCAGCCCTGATTCCAATCCCAGCTCTGATCCTGATCCCAATCCCAATCCCAATCCCGATCCCATTCCAAATTTGATACCAATCCCAACCCTGATCCCAATCCCAGCCCTGATCCCAATCCCAGCCCCCATCCCGATCCCACTCCTGATCTTGATCCAGATCCCAACCCTGATCCCAATCCTGATCCCAATCCCAGCCCTGATCCCAATCCAAATCCTGAACCCAATCCCAAACCTTTATCCCAACCTTGATCCAAATCCCATTCCCAACCCTGATCCCATTCCCAGCCCTGATCCCAATCCTGATCCCAACCCAGATTTCCCCTCTGGATTTCGGCTCCTCCTGGCCCCAAACCCCCCCCGGTGCCCATCCCGTGGGATCGGGAATTCCCAAACGGCTCCGGGGACCCACCCCATGGAATATCCCAAAAATCCCAAATCCATGGAAAATCCCCAAAAAAATCCCAAATTCATGATGGAATATCCCAAAAATCCCAAATCCCAAATTCAATCCCATGGAATATCCAAAAAATCCCAAATCTCACCCCAGGAATATCCCAAAAATCCCAAATCCCAAATCCCACCCCATGGAATATCCCAAAAAAATCTCAAATCCATGATGGAATATCCCGAAAAATCCGAAATTCCATCCCATGGAATATCCCAAAAATCCCAAATCCCACCCCATGGAAAATCCCAAAAAATCCCCAAATCCATGATGGAATATCCCAAAAATCCCAAATATCACCCCAGGAATATCCCAAAAATCCCAAATCCCACCCCAGGAATATCCCAAAAATTCCAAATCTATGGAATATCCCATGGAATATCCCAAAAATCCCAAATTCCAAATCCATGGAATATCCCAAAAATCCCAAATTCCATCCCATGGAATATCCCAAAAATCCCAAATCCCAGGAATATCCCAAAAAATCCCTTTCTGGCTCTTCCGTGGAAATTTGGGCCCCAAATCCAGGGATTTTCCCAGGGAATTCTGGAATTTGGGAAAGGGAATTTCGGGGGCTGGGAAATCCGGGATTTGGGAATTCCAGGGGCTCAAAAATCGGGATTTGGGAATTCCAGGGCTGGAAATTTGGAATTTCCCTTTCCTGCTGGGAATTCCGGGATTTTTGGGAATTCCAGGATTTGGGAATTCCAGGGGCTGGAAATTTGGGATTTGGGAATTCCAGGGGATGGAATTGGGAATTGGATTTCCAGGATTTGGGAATTCCAGGGGCTGGAAATTCTGGGATTGGGAATTCCAGGATTTGGGAATTCCAGGGGCTGGGAGATCGGGATTTGGGAATTGCAGGGGCTGGTAAATCCGGGATTTGGGAATTCCAGGGCTGGAAATTTGGGATTTGGGAATTCCAGGGGCTGGGAATTCCGGGATTTGGGTGTTGGGAATTCCAGAGGCAGGAAATCTGGGATTTGGGGGTTGGGAATTCCAGGATTTGGGAATTCCAGGGGCTGGGAATTCCTGGATTTTGGGGATTGGGAATTGGAATTCCAGGATTTGGGAATTCCAGGGGCTGGGAATTCCGGGATTTTGGGGAATTCCAGGATTTGGGATTTCCAGGGGCTGGGAATTTGGTATTTGGGAATTCAGGGGCTGGGAATTCCGGGAATTCCGGGATTTTGGGAATTGCGGGCTCACGCTGGCCAAGCCGCTGTCCAGGTCCGGCAGCGCCACCTCCGGCACCGCCACCGCCGGACTGAAGAGCTGCGGGAAAAGCGGGAACGGCGTCGGAATTCCCGGAATTCCCGGGAAAAACCCGACCCAAACGTGTCCCAATCCAGGAATTCCCAGGAAAATCTGACCCCATCCTGGGAATTCCCGGGAAAAACCCGACCCAAACGTGTCCCAAACCAGGAATTCCCAGGAAAATCTGTCTCCATCCTGGGAATTCCCGGGAAAAACCCGATCCAAACTGAAGAATTCCCAGGAAAAATCTGTTCTGAGTCTGGGAATGCTGATATTTCAAGGAAAAACCCACCCCCAATTCGGGAATTCCTGGGAAAAAACTGACCCAAACATGGGAATTCCTGGGAAAAATCCCAATTGTGGGAATTCCCGGGAAAAATCTGTCCTGAGACCAGGAATTCCTGGGAAAAATCCCAAATGTGGGATTTCTTGGGAAAAACGTGTCCCAATCCAGGAATTCCCAGGAAAATCTGTCCCCAATCGCAGAATTCCTGGGAAAAACCCCAAATGTGGGAATTCCTGGGAAAAATCCCAAATGTGGGAATTCCCAGGAAAAACGTGTCCCAATCCAGGAATTCCCAGGAAAATCTGTCCCCATCCTGGGAATTCCCAGGAAAAACCTGATCCAAACATGGGAATTCCCAGGAAAAATCTGTCCTGAGTCATGGAATTCCTGGGAAAATCCCAAATGTGGGAATTCCCAGGAAAAATCTGCCCTGAGCATGGGAATTCCTGGGAAAAATCTGAACCAAACACAGGAATTCCTGGGAAAAATTGGTTGGAATCCCAGGAATTCCCACTGGGAATGGGCCAGGATCCTGGGAATTCCCATTGGGAATGGGGAGTTCTGGGGGTTCCCAATTGGAATTTTGGGAATCCCAGGAATTCCCAATTGGAATTCTGGGAATTCCCACTGGGAACGGGCTGGGATCCTGGGAATTCCCATTGGGAATGGGGAGATTTGGGGGTTCCTGATGGGAATTCCGGGATTTCCCATTGGGAATTTTGGGAATTCCTGACTGGAATTCTGGGAATTCCTACTAGGAATGGGCCGGGATCCCAAGAATTCCCACTGGGAATGGGGAGTTTTGAGGTTCCTCATTGGAATTTTGGGAATTCTGGATTAGAATTCTGGAATTCCCGATTGGAATCCCGGGAATTCCCACCGGGAATGGGGAGTTTTGGAGGTTCCTGATTGGAATTTTGGGAATTCCAGGAATTCCCACTGGGAACTGGGAGTTTTGGGAATTCTCGATCAGAATTCTGGGAATTCCCATTGGGAATGGGGAATTTTGGGGGTTCCCGATGAGATTTTGGGAATTCTGGGTGGGAATGTTTGGAATTCCCGCCAGGAACAGGGAGTTTTGGTGATTTTTGCTCGGAATTCCGGGAATTCTCACGGAAAACGGGGAGTTTTGGGGGGTTCCTGATGGGAATCCTGGGAATTCTGGATTAGAATTCTGGAATTCCCGATGGGAATTATGAGGATTGTGGGCAGGAATGTTGGGAATGTTGGGAATTCCTGATGGGATTTTGGGAATTCTGGGTGGGAATGTTGGGAATGTTGGGAATTTCGGGTGGGAATGCTGGGAATTCCCGATGGGAATGTTGGGAATTCCTGACGGGAATTCCGGTAATTCTGGATTGGGAATGTTGGCAATTCCCAATGGGATTTTGGGAATTCCCGATGGGTATTTTGGGAATTCCATGTGGGAATGTTGGGAATTGTGGGAATTCCCAATGGGATTTTGGGAATTGTGGATTGGGAATGTTGGGAATTCCGTGCAGGAATGTCAGGAATGTCGGGAATGTTGGGAATTCCGTGCGGGAATGTTGGGAATGTCGGGAATTCCCAATGGGAATTTTGGGAATTCCCATTGGGAATGTTGGGAATTCCCAATGGGAATTTTGGGAATTCCGGGCAGGAATGTTGGGAATGTCGGGAATGTTGGGAATTCCGGTCGGGAATGTCGGGAATATCGGGAATCGGGACTCACGTCCAGCAGGGCGCTGTCCATGCTGAAGCCGTGGGAGCTGAGCAGCGCCTGCAGCTTCTCCAGGCTGGAATCCACCGAGTCCAGGTGCTCGTTCAGCTCCGACCTGAAATCCAGGAAAAATGGGAATTACACCAGGAATAACAGCGGGAAACTGAGTCCAGGTGCTCGTTCAGCTCCGACCTGGAAAACGGGAAAAATACGGGAATTACACCTGGAAAAACGGGAATTACATCGAGTCCAGGTGCTCGTTCAGCTCTGACCTGGAAAAAACCGGGAATAACAACGGGAATTACACCGGGAATAACACCCGGAATTACACCGAGTCCAGGTGCTCGTTCAGCTCCGACCTAAAAACCGGGAATGACACCCGGAAAAACAGGAATTACACGTGGAATTACAGGTGCTCGTTCAGCTCCGACCTAAAAACCGGGAATTACACCCGGAAAAACGGGAATTACACCCGGAATTACACCCGGAACACCGAGTCCAGGTGCTCGTTCAGCTCCGACCTGGAAAAATGGGAATAACAATGGGAAAAACGGGAATTACACCTGGAACACCGAGTCCAGGTGCTCGTTCAGCTCCGACCTAAAATCCAGGAATAACAACGGGAATTACACCCGGAAAAACGGGAATTACATCGAGTCCAGGTGCTCGTTCAGCTCCGACCTGCCGGAAAAACCGGGAATAACACCCGGAAAAATGGGAATTACACCCGGAACACCGAGTCCAGGTGCTCGTTCAGCTCCGACCTGGAAAAATGGGAATAACAACGGGAAAAACGGGAATTACACCCAGAATAACACCGGGAATAACGGGAATACCAAGACCTGCTGCAACCTGAGCCATTCCCATTCCCATTCCCGCTTTTCCTGAGCAGAGAATTTTGGGGAATTCCAAGAATTCAGCCCTGCTCTGAGCTGGGAATGGCGCCACATTCCCATTCCTAGTTTCCCATTCCCACTTTTCCCCAACTGGGAATTTTGGGAATTCCAGGAATTCTGCCCCATTCCCCATTCCCATTCCCCATTCCCATTCCCATTCCCACTTTTCTCCAGCAAGGAATTTTGGAAATTTTGTTAATTTCTCCCCATTCCCATTCCCGCTTTCCCCACCTGGGAATTCCAGGAATTCCACCCCCATTCCCATTCCCATTCCCATTTCTGCTTTTCCTGAGCTGGGAATTCCAGGAATTCTGCCATATCCCCATCCCCATTCCCGCTTTTCCCAAGCTGGGAATTTTGGGAATTCCATGAATTCTGCCCCATTCCCATTCCCGTTCCCATTCCCATCCCCATTCCCGCTTTCCCCAGCTGCGAATTTTGGGAATTCCGCCCCATTCCCATTCCCAGTTTCCCATTCCCATTCCCATTCCCATTCCCATTCCCGCTTTTCCCCAGCCACGAATTTTGGGAATTCCGGGAATTCCGCCCCATTCCCATTCCCATTCCCATTCCCATTCCCATTCCCACTTTCCCCAGATGGGAATTTTGGCAATTCCGAGAACTCCGCCCCATTCCCATTCCCAGTTTCCCATTCCCATTCCCATTCCTGCTTTCCCCAGCCGGGAATGTTGGGAATTCCGGGAATTCCGGGAATTGCGGGCTCACCTGTCGAGGCAGGCGAGGCTCAGGCACTTTTCCGGGCCCTGGGAATTCCCGGGAGCGGCTCCGGAGTCGTTTTCCCGCAGGATGGAGTCGATGAAGGTGGAGGGGGACAGGGGGGTCTCGGCGTTCCCGGAATTCCCGGAATTCCCGGAATTCCCGGAATTCCCGGCGTTCCGGGGCTCCTCCCCCTGCGGGCTGGGGGTGGGGCTGGGAGGCTCCTCCTTGATCCGGATGGGCGGGCTGCTCCTGCCCGGAAAAAAAAACGGGAATAACGGCGGGAATAAAGGCGGGAATAACGGGAATAACGGGAATAACGGGAATAACGGGAAACATGGGAAAAATGGGAATGGGAAATGCGGGAAAATGGGAAAAATAGGAATGGGAAAAACGGGAATGGAAAAAACGGGAAAATGGGAAAAATGGGAATGGGAAATGCGGGAAAATGGGAAAATGGGAACAATGGGAATAACGGGAATAATGGGAAACGCGGGAAAAACGGGAATGGGAAATGTGGGAAACTTGGAAAAATGGGAATGGGAGAAATGGAAATGGGAAAACGGGAATGGGAAATGAGGGAAAATGGGAAAAATGGGAAAAATGGGAAAAACAGGAATGGGAAAACCTGGAAAAATGGGAATAATGGGAAATGCAGGAATGGGAAAAATGGGAATGGGAAATGCAGGAAAAATGGGAATGGGAATGGGGAAAATGGGAAAAATGGGAATGGGAAATGCAGGAAAATTGGAAAAAGGGGAATGGGAAAAAAGGGAAAACGGGAATAATGGGAAACGCGGGAAAATGGAAAATGTGGGAAAATGGGAAAAATGGGAAAAGTGGGAAAAAGGGGAAAATGGGAATGGGAAAAACGGAATGGGAGAAACGGGAATGGGAAATGTGGGAATGGGAAATGTGGGAATGGGAAACAGGAAAAATGGGAATGGGATCCCAGCCCCACCTCCCTCCCTCCCCCATTCCCAGGGAATTTTCGGGAATCCTGTCCCACCTGCCCCATTCCCAGGGTATTTTGGGAATCCCGTCCCAGTCCCGGGGAATTTTTGGGAATCCTGTCCCCGTTCCCAGGGAATTTTCGGGAATCCCGTCCCCATTCCTGGGGGGGAATTTTGGGAATTTCATCCCCATTCCCAGGAAATTTTCAGGAATCCTGTCCCCGTTCCCAGGGAATTTTCGGGAATCCCGTCCCACCTGCCCCAGTCCCGGAGAATTTTGGGGAATCCCGTCCCCATTCCCAGGGAATTTTCGGGAATTCCATCCCGTTCCCGGATAATTTTTGGGAATCCCATCCCGTTCCCGGGGAATTTCGGGAATTCCATCCCCATTCCCAGGGAATTTTTGGGAATCCCATCCCGTTCCCGAGGAATTTCGGGAATCCCGTCCCATTCCCGGGGAATTTCGGGAATTCGGTCCCACCTGTGTCCGGGGGCGGGGCCGTCGGCGATGACGTCATCGATGACGTCAGCGATGGCGCGGGCGGGGCCGCGGGGGGGGGAGGGGTCGGCCGCGAGCAGCGCCGGGCCCGGAGCCTGCGGGGGGAGGGGCGGAAAATACCGGGAATGGCACCGGGAATAACGGCGGGAATAACGGGAATAATGGTGGGAATAGTGATGGGAATGACGGGAATGACAACGGGAATAAACACCGGGAATGGCCGCGGGAATGACGGGAATAACAACGGGAATGGCGACGGGAACGATGGGAAAAACACCAGGAATAAACACCGGGAATGGCGACGGGAATAACGGGAATGGCAACGGGAATAACGACGGGAATGGCAACGGGAATAATGGGAATAACGACGGGAATGGCGGGAAAAACACTGGGAATAAACGGAACACCGGGAATGGCGACAGGAACGACGGGAATGACGGGAATAAACACCAGGAATAAATACCGGGAATGGCAATGGGAACGACGGGAAAAACACCGGGAATGGGAACACTGGGAATGGGAACACTGGGAATAACACCGGGAATGAACACCGGGAATGGCGATGGGAATAATGGGAAAAACAACGGGAATGGTGATAGGAATGATGGGAATGACACCAGGAATAAACACCAGGAATGGTGACGGGAATGATGGGAAAAACAACAGGAATGGCACCGGGAATAAAGGCGGGAGTGGTGACAGGAATAATGGGAATAAACCCCAGGAACGGCTATGGGAATAACGGGAAAAACACCGGGAATGGCGACGGGAACGATGGGAAAAACACCGGGAATGGTGACGGGAACAACGGGAATGGCGATGGGAATGGTGATGGGAATGATGGGAAAAACACCGGGAATAAACACCAGGAATGGCCACGGGAACGATGGGAAAAACACTGGAATGGCACCGGGAACGACGGGAATGGCGACAGGAATAAACACTGGGAATGGCGACAGGAACGACGGGAATGACAACGGGGATGACGGGAAAAACACCGGGAATGGCATCGGGAATGATGGGAATGACACCAGGAATGGCAGGAATGACACCGGGAATGGCACTGGGAACGACGGGAATGACAATGGGAATGGTGACGGGAACAATGGGAAAAACACCGGGAATGGCGATGGGAATGGCGGCGGGAATGGCACCGGGAATAACGGCGGGAATGGCGACGGGAATGACGGGAAAAACACTGGGAATGGCGGGAAAAACACCAGGAATGGCAACGGGAATGGGAACACTGGGAATAACACTGGGAATGGCGACAGGACTGACAGGAACAGCACCGGGAATGGCGACGGGAATAAACACCAGGAATGGTGGTGGGAATAATGGGAAAAACACTGGGAATGGTGATGGGAACAGCGGGAATGGCGACGGGAACAGTGGGAATGACAACGGGAATGGTGACGGGAACAATGGGAAAAACACCAGGAATGGCGGCGGGAACAATGGGAAAAACACCGGGAATGGCGATGGGATCAACGGGAATAAACACCGGGAATAAACACCGGGAATAACAGGAAAAACACCAGGAATGGCGGGAAAAACACCGGGAATGGCGATGGGAAGGACGGGAGCAGCACCGGGAACAACGAGAATCCCATTCCCAATGAATCCCATCCCTGATCCCATTCCCAATAAACCCCATTCCCAATGAATCCCATTCCCAATAAATCCCAATAAATCCCACCTAATCCCATTCCCAATAAATCCCTGATCCCATCCCTGATCCCATTCCCATAAATCCCATTCCCACAAATCCCTTTTCCCAATAAATCCCCATTCCCAATAAATCCCAATCCCACCAATCCCAATCCCAAAAGTCCCATTCCCACAGATCCCATTCCCATAAATCCCAATCCCAATAAATCCCAATCCCATTTTCCCCATCCCAATCCCATTTTTTGGGAATGCTGCTCATGGTGTACGTGGAATTCCTGTGCTGCTCCAGGGAATTCCCAAGAAATCCCATTCCCACAAATCCCATTCCCACAAATCCCATCCCAGATCCCATTCCCACAAATCCCATTCCCACAAATCCCATCCCAGATCCCATTCCCATAAATCCCATTCCCACAAATCCCATTCCCAATAAATCCCATTTTTTGGGAACGCAGCTCACACTGTAGGTGGAATTCCCAATAAATCCCAATAAATCCCAATAAATCCCATTCCCAATAAATCCCAATCCCATAGATCCCAATCCCATTCCCAATCAATCCCAATCCCATTCCCAATCAATCCAATTAAATCCCAATCCAAATAAATCCCAATCCCATAGATCCCAATCCCTTCCCAATCAATCCCAATAAATCCCACTTTTTATAAATAAATCCCAATAAATCCCATTTTTCCCATCCCAGTAAACCCCATTTTTCCCATCCCAATAAACCCCATTTTTCCCAAAAAATCCTAATAATTTTCCGGGAATGCTGCTCACGGTGTAGGCGGAATTCCCGTGGTGCTCCAGGGGGTAGGGTCGGCTGTACTTGGGCATGGAATGTGCGGGGCCGCCGTCGTTCAGCATCAGGGGGCTGCAATTCCCAAAAAAAAACCGGGAATACCCGGGCTGAAATTCCCAAAAACCCGGGGCTGAAATTCCCAAAAACTCCCCCAAAAAAACAGGGCTGAAATTCTCAAAAAATTCCCACAAAAACGGGGCTAAAATTCTCAAAAAAACCAGGAAAAACCTGAGCTGAAATTCCCCCCAAAAATCCCGGGAATACCTGTGCTGAAATTCCAAACAAATTCCCAAAAAAACCCGGGGCTGAAATTTCCAAAAAATTCCCCAAAAAAAGGGGAAAAACCCGAGCTGCAATTCCCAAAAAATTCTCCAAAAAACCGGGAAAAACCCAGGGCTGAAATTCCAAAACAATTCCCCCAAAAAACCAGGAAAAACACGGGGCTGAAATTCCCAAAAAACTCCAAAAAAAACTGGGAAAAACTCAGGGCTGCAATTCCCAAAAGATTCCCCAAAAAACCCAGGCTGAAATTCCCAAAAAATTCCCCCAAAAAATGGGAAAACCCCGGGCTGAAATTCCCTAAAAATCAGTGTTTTCCAAAGGTTTTTCCAGGGTCTTTTTAGGATTTTTCCAGGGGTTTTCCTGGGTTTTTTTCTGAGGCTTTTCAGGATTTTTTCAGGTTTTTTTGGTTTTTTTGGGGGGTGTTTTTCCAGAGGATTTCCAGATTTTTCCCAGGGGTTTTTCCAGGGGTTTCCCAGGATTTTTCCAGGGATTTTTTTGTGTTTTTCCAGAGGTTTTCCTGGATTATTCCAGGGTTTTTTTTTTTTTTTTTTTTTTTTTTCCAGAGGCTTTCCAGAATTTTCCCAGCGTTTTTTTTCCAGATTTTTTTTTGTGTGTTTCCAGAGTTTTTTTCCAGGATTTTTCCAGAGTTTTTTTCCAGGATTTTTTTCAGGGATTTTCCAGGGGTTTTTCCAGGATTTTTTCAGGTTTTTTTTGGGGGGGTTTTCCCAGAATTTTCCCGTTATTTTCCCAGGGGTTTTTCCCGAGATTTTTCCAGGATTTTTTCCAGGAGGGAGGGGGTTGGGAACGGATTTTTGGGATTTTGGGAAGGAATTCCCAGCGAATCCCAGGAAAAACAGAAATTCCAGGAATTCCCTTTAATCCCAAATTCCCAAATCCCAGCCCGGCCCCTCCCGGGGATTTTTGGGGGTCCGGATGCGGAATTCCGGGGGGTTTTTTTGGGAATTTTGAGGATTTCTCTCACATTTTCCTCTTGACGCCGAGGATCCGGTTGGATTGCACCAGCGAGATCAGGAACTGGATCAGCTGCCGGGAGAGAACACCGAGAGGTCAGGGAAAAGGGGAAAAATGGGGGAAAATGGGGGAAATTGGGGGAAAAACTGGGGAAAATGGGGGAAAAATGGGGGAAAATAGGGAAAAAATGGGGAAAAAAACTGGGGAAAATGGGGAAAAAATGGGAAAAATGGGGAAAAGGGGAAAAAACGGGAAAAATGGGGGGAAATGGGGAAAAACCCTGGGGAAAACTGGGAAAAATGGGGGAAAATGGGAAAAAAATGAGAAAAAAACCCTAAGGAAAACTGGGAAAAATGGACAAAAGTGGGAAAAGAGCTGGGAAAAAACCTGGAGAAAACGGGGAAAACTGGGGAAAAAAACTGGGAAAAATGGGAGGAAAAATGGGAAAAACTGGGAAAAACTTGAAAAATGAGGAAAAATCCTGGGGAAACGGGGAAGAAATTGAGAAAATGGGAAAAAAACTGGGGAAATGGGGAAAAAATGGGGAAACCCGGGAAAAATGGGGGAAATTTCGGAAAAACAGGGCAAAAATGGGAAAAACTGGGGAAAATGGGAAAAAATGGGAAAAAACTGGGAAAAAACCTGGGGAAATTTGGGAAAATTTGGAAAAATGGGGGAAAACTTGAAAAAATGAGGGAAAAACTAAGGAAAACTGGGATAAACAGAAAAAAACTGGGGAAAAAAGAAGGAAAATGGGAAAAAAATGGGGAACATTGAGAAAAACTGGGAAAAAAAGGGAAAAAAAGGAAAAATGGGAAAAATTGGGAAAAAATGGGGAAAATTGGGAAGAACTGGGAAATATTGGGGGAAAATGGGAAAGATTTGGGGGAAAATGGGAAAAATTTAGGGGAAAATTGGGAAAACTTGTGGGGGAAGAGATTTGGGAAGGGAAAATTGGGAAAAATTGGGAAAATTGGGAAAAATTGGGAAAAACTGGGGGGAAAATTGGGAAAAACCTGGGGGGGGGGAAGAAATTTGGGAATTACCCCTGGAAATCACCCCTGGAAATTCGGGAATTACCCCGGAAATTTGGGAATTACCCCTGAAAGTTTGGGAATTACCCCTGGAAATTTGGGAATGGGCTCTGGAAATTCGGGAATTACCCCTGGATATTCGGGAATGAGCCCCAGAATTTCGGGAATGCCGCTGGAATTTCGGGAATTCCCCCTGGAAATTCGGGAATGAGCCCCAGAATTTTGGGAATGCCGCTGGAAATTCGGGAATGACCCCCAGAAATTCGGGAATTACCTTGTTGACGACCTTCTGCTGCTGCGCGTGCTTCTGGCGCAGGCTGGCCACCTCCCGCCACAGAGCCTCGTTCTCACTGCGGGCACAGAATTCCATGGAAAACGGGAAAATTCCATCAAAAACGGGGAGAAATTACATACAAAACGGGGGAGAAATTCCATCAAAAATGGGGGGAAAATTCCATGGAAAAACCGGGAAATTCCATGGAAAAAACGGGAGAATTCCATGGAAAAACGGGGAGAAATTGCATCCAAAATGGGAAGAAATTCCATGAAAAATGGGGAGAAATTCCATCAAAAACGGGGGGAAATTCCTTCAAAAATGGGGCAAAATTCCATGAAAAACAGGGAGAAATTCCATGAAAAACAGAGGGAAATTTTGTGAAAAACGGGGAGAAATTCCATTAAAAATGGGGAGAAGTTCCATTAAAAATGGGGAGAAATTCCATGGAAAACAGAGGGAAATTCTGTGAAAAACGGGGAGAAATTTCATGAAAACCAGGGAGAAAATTCCATCAAAAACAGGGGAGAAATTCCATGAAAAATGGGGAGAAATTCCATCAAAAACAGAGGAGAAATTCCATGAAAAATGGGGAGAAATTTCATGAAAAACGGGGAGAAATTCCATTAAAAATGGGGAGAAATTCCATGAAAAACGGGGGAGAAATTCCATGAAAAATGGGGGGAAAATTGCATCAAAGATGGGGAAGAAATTCCATCAAAAACAGGGAAAAATTCCATGAAAAACTGGGAAAAATTCCATGGAAAACAGGGGAAAATTCCATGAAAAACAGGAAAAAAATCCATTGAAACAGGGAAAAAATTCCATTGAAACAGGGCAGTAATTCCATTATCCCATATCCCATTATTCCCATGTATCCCACTATTCCCATTCCTCCCAATCCCATCCTTGTTCCCATTCCCATATATCCCATTTTCCCCTTTATCCCATTTTCCCATTTATCCCATTTTCCCATACATCCCATTTTTTCCATTTCCCCTATATCCCGCTTTTCCCATTTTCCCCTGCATCCCAATATTCCCATTTATCCCACTATTCCCATTTATCCCACTATTCCCATTTATCCCATTCCCATCCCCGTTCCCATTCCCATATATCCCATTTTTCTCATTTTCCCCCTATATCCCATTTACCCCCATATCCCACTATTCCCATTTATCCCATTCCCATATAGCCCACATATCCCACTTATCCAATTGCCCCCTACATCCCGTTATTTCCCTATATCCTATTTTCCCCTATATCCCACTATTCCCATTGATCCCACTATTCCCATTTATCCCATTCCTATTTGTGTTTCCATTCCCATTTATCCCATTTTCCCCTAAATCCCAATATTCCCATTTATCCCATTTCCCCATATATCCCAATATTCCCATTTATCCCATTTCCCCCTATATCCCATTTTCCCCCTATATCCCATTTTTCCCCTATATCCCACTATTTCCATTTATCCCATTGTTCCCATTTATCCCATTCCTACCCCTGTTCCCATTCCCATATATCCCCTTTTTCCCATACATCCCATTTTCTCTATACAACCCATTTTCCCCATTATTTTCCCTATATCCCACTATTCCCATATATCCAATTATTCACATTTATCCCATTCCTATTTGCATTCCCATTCCCATAGATCCCATTTCCCCCCTATATCCCATTTTTTCCCCTATATCCCATTTTTCCCTAAATCCCATTTTCCCCTATATCCCACTATTCCCATTGATCCCATATATCCCATTTTTCCCATATATCCCATTTTTCCCCTATATCCCACATATCCCATTTTCCCACATATCCCATTTTTCTCCTAAATCCCATTTTCCCCATTTATCCTGTTTTTCCCATATATGCCATTTATCCCGGTTTTCCCTATATCCCATTTTTCCCATTTATCCCATTCCTATCCCCATTCCCATAGATCCCATATATCCCATTTTCCCTTATATCTCATTATTCCCATTTATCCCATTTTTATCATTCCCACTATTCCCATTTATCCCATTCCTATCCCCATTCCCACTCCCCTATATCCCATTTTCCCCTATATCCCATTTTTCCCCTATATCCCATTTCCTCCCTATATCCCATTTTTCCCATAAATCCCATTTTCCCCTATATCCCATTTTCCCCTATATCCCATTTTTCCCCTATATCCCATTTTCCCCCTATCCCATTTTCCCCCTATATCCCATTTTTCCCCTATATCCCATTTTCCCCTATATCCCATTTTCCCCTATATCCCATTTTTCCACTATATCCCATTTTCCCTATATCCCATTTTCCTCCTAAATCCCATTTTCCCCATTTATCCTGTTTTTCCCATATATGCCATTTATCCCAATTTTCCCTTTATCCATTTTTCCCATTTACCCCAATCCTATCCCCATTCCCATAGATCCCATATATCCCATTTTCCCCTATATCACACTATTCCCATTTATCCCATTTTTATCATTCCCACTATTCCCATTTATCCCATTTCCCCCCTATATCCCATTTTTCCCCCTATATCCCATTTTCCCCCTATATCCCATTTTCCCCTATATCCCACTTTTCCCCTATATCCCACTTTTCCCCTATATCCCATTTTCCCCTATATCCCAATTTCCCCCTATATCCCATTTTCCCCTATATCCCATTTTCCCCTATATCCCAATTTCCCCCTATATCCCATTTTCCCCTATATCCCATTTTCCCCTATATCCCATTTTCCCCTATATCCCATTTTTCCCCCTATATCCCATTTTCCCCTATATCCCAATTTCCCCCTATATCCCATTTTCCCCTATATCCCATTTTCCCCTATATCCCATTTTTCCCCTATATCCCATTTTTCCCCTATATCCCACTTTTCCCATATATCCCACTTTTCCCCTATATCCCATTTTCCCCTATATCCCAATTTCCCCCTATATCCCATTTTCCCCTATATCCCATTTTCCCCTATATCCCAATTTCCCCCTATATCCCATTTTCCCCTATATCCCATTTTCCCCTATATCCCATTTTTCCCCTATATCCCATTTTTCCCCTATATCCCACTTTTCCCATATATCCCACTTTTCCCCTATATCCCATTTTTCCCCTATATCCCATTTTTCCCCTATATCCCATTTTCCCCTATATCCCATTTTCCCCTATATCCCATTTTCCCCTATATCCCATTTTCCCCTATATCCCACTTTTCCCCTATATCCCACTTTTCCCCTATATCCCATTTTCCCCTATATCCCAATTTCCCCCTATATCCCATTTTCCCCTATATCCCATTTTCCCCTATATCCCAATTTCCCCCTATATCCCATTTTCCCCTATATCCCATTTTCCCCTATATCCCATTTTCCCCTATATCCCATTTTTCCCCCTATATCCCATTTTCCCCTATATCCCAATTTCCCCCTATATCCCATTTTCCCCTATATCCCATTTTCCCCTATATCCCATTTTTCCCCTATATCCCATTTTTCCCCTATATCCCACTTTTCCCATATATCCCACTTTTCCCCTATATCCCATTTTCCCCTATATCCCAATTTCCCCCTATATCCCATTTTCCCCTATATCCCATTTTCCCCTATATCCCAATTTCCCCCTATATCCCATTTTCCCCTATATCCCATTTTCCCCTATATCCCATTTTTCCCCTATATCCCATTTTTCCCCTATATCCCACTTTTCCCATATATCCCACTTTTCCCCTATATCCCATTTTTCCCCTATATCCCATTTTTCCCCTATATCCCATTTTCCCCTATATCCCATTTTTCCCCTATATCCCATTTTCCCCCATTCCCACATTTCCCCGTCCCCGCTGCGCAGCTGCCGCCCCATTCCCGCCCCATTCCCGCCCCATTCCCGGTGGGATTCGGGCTCGGAATTCCCAATTAATCCCAAACCCATCCCCACACCTGCCCCCGGAATAAGAAACCCCGGAAAAACCCCAAAAAAACCCGGGAAAACCTCGGGATAACGGGACCGGAGCAAAACCCAAAATCCCGATGGAATTTCGGGATTGGGATCGCAGCTGAGCCCCAAATCCCGAGGGAATTTCGGGATTGGGATCGCAGCTGAGCCCCAAATCCCGAGGGAATTTCGGGATTGGGATCGCAGCTGAGCCCCAAATCCCGAGGGAATTTCGGGATTGGGATCGCAGCTGAGCCCCAAATCCCGAGGGAATTTCGGGATTGGGATCGCAGCTGAGCCGGGCACGGATGAGGAGAGGGGAATAAAAGGGGAATAAAGGAACGGGGCGGGAGCAGCCGGGAAAAATCCCAAAGGAGTTTTTGGGATCGCCAGCAGGGACGGGGAGGCAATTCCGGGATTTATGGGATTTTATGGAATTGTGGCAGCCGGGAATTCCCAACGGGATCGTTACGGGAACGAGGAGGGGCGGGACGGCCCCGCTCGGCAGCTGATCCCAAAAATGGGATTTGGGATTTGGGATTTGGGGGGGGAAGGAGGGATTTGGGGTCAGCACAGGGAAAATGCCGGATTTGGGGTCCTTATTTCCCAATTCCCGTGGTTTATTCCCAATTTTTGTCCCCAGATTTCCTGGCTGTTATTCCCAGATTTCATTCCCAGATTTCCTGGTTTTTATTCCCGGATTTCCTCTTTGTTATTCCCAGATTTCACTCCCTGACCCCTGACTTTTATTCCCAGATTTTCTGGTTGGTATTCCCAAACTTCTTTCCCAAATTCCTGGTCTTTATTCCCAGATTTTCTGGTTGGTATTCCCAGATTTCTTTCCCAAATTCCTGGTCTTTATTCCCAGGCTCCCGGCCGTTATTCCCGGATTTCATTCCCAGATTTCTGGCCGTTATTCCCAGATTTTCTCACCATCATTCCCGGATTCCCATGGTTTATTCCCAATTTTTATTCCCAGATTTCCTCTTTGTTTTTCCCAGATTTCATTCCCAGATTCCTGGTCTTTATTCCCAGAGTTTCTGACTGTCATTCCCAGATTCCCATGGTTTATTCCCCATTTTTATTCCCAGATTTCCTCTTTGTTATTCCCAGATTTCACTCCCAAATTCCTGGCCGTTATTCCCAGATTTTCTGAGCGTCATTCCCAGATTTCCCGGCCTTTATTCCCAGATTTCGGTGGTTTTTCCTGTTTCCATTCCCAATTCCCAGATTCCATTCCCAGATTTCTAAGGTATTATTCCCAGATTCCCGGCGTTATTCCCAAATTGATTCCCAGGTTTATTCCTGGATTTTACCCCCAATTCCCGGATTAATTCCCAGATTCATTCCCAGATGTAATCCCGGATTTTTCCCCAAATTCCCGTTTTTATTCCCGTTTTTATTCCCGTTTTTATTCGGGGATTTATTCCCTTGTTATTCCATACTGTTTCATGGTGAGCAGCCGCGAGTCCAGGCTGTGCTGCCGCCATTCCCACATCCCATTCCCACATTCCCTGGCTGTTTATTCCTGGATTCATTCCCGGATTCAATCTCGGATTCCATTCCCAATTCCCAGATTAATTCCCGGATTCAATCCCGGATTTATCCCAAATTCCTGGATTAATTCCTGGATCTATTCCCGGCTTTATTCCCGCTTTTCCGTACTATTTCATGGTGAGCAGCCGCGAGTCCAGGCTGTGCTGCCGCCATTGCCCTAGCTGTTTATTCCCAGATTCATTCCCGGATTTAATCCCAAATTTAATCCCGGATTTTTCCCCAAATTCCCGTTTTTATTCCCGTTTTTATCCCGTACTGTTTCATGTTGAGCAGCCGTGAGTCGAGGCTGTGCTGCCGCCATTCCCACATCCCATTCCCACATTCCCTGGGGGTTTATTCCCAGATTCATTCCCGGATTCAATCCCTGATTTAATCCCGTATTTTTCCCCAAATTCCCGTTTTTATCCCGGGATTTATTCCCGTTTTTCCGTACTGTTTCATGTTGAGCAGCTGCGAGTCCAGGCTGTGCTGCCGCCATTCCCACATTCCCTGGCTGTTTATTCCCAGATTAATTCCCAGAGTAATTCCTGGATTTAATCCCGGATTTATCCCCAATTCCCGGATTTATTCCCAGCTTTATTCCCGGATTTATTCCCATTTTTCCGTACTGTTTCATGGTGAGCAGCCGCGAGTCCAGGCTGTCCTGCCGCCATTGCCCTAGCTGTTTATTCCCAGATTAATTCCCAGATTCAATCTCGGATTCATTCCCACATTTAACCCCAGATTTAATCCCAGATTCAATCCCAAATTCCCGTTTTTATTCCCGTTTTTATTCCCGCTTTTCCGTACTGTTTCATGTTGAGCAGCCGTGACTCCAGGCTGTGCTGCCGCCATTCCCACATTCCATTCCCACATTCCCTGGCTGTTTATTCCCAGATTTAATCCCAGATTTATTCCCAGATTCAATTCTAAATTCCAGGATTTATTCCCAGATTTATTCCCGGATTTATTCCCGGATTTAATCCGGGATTTATCCCCAATTCCCAGATTTATTCCCACATTTATTCCCAGATTCATTCCCGGATTAATTCCCCGATTTATTCCCAGATTCAATCCCAAATTCCGGGATTTATTCCCGTTTTTCCGTACTGTTTCATGGTGAGCAGGCGGGAGTCCAGGCTGTGCTGCCGCCATTGCCCTGGCTGTTTATTCCCAAATTAATTCCCAGATTCATTCCCGGATTTAACCCCAAATTCAATCCCAGATTTAACCCCAAATTTAATCCTGGATTTTTCCCCAAATTCCCGTTTTTATTCCCGTTTTTATTCCGTACTGTTTCATGTTGAGCAGCCGCGAGTCCAGGCTGCGCTGCCGCCATTCCCACATTCCCTGGCTGTTTATTCCCAGATTAATTCCCAGATTCATTCCCAGATTTAACCCCAAATTTAATCCCGTATTTTTCCCCAAATTCCCGTTTTTATTCCCGTTTTTATTCCCGTTATTTTTCCGTACTGTTTCATGGTGAGCAGCCGCGAGTCCAGGCTGTGCTGCCGCCATTCCCACATTCCCTGGCTGTTTATTCCCAGATTAATTCCTGTATTCATTCCCAGATTTAACCCCAAATTCAATCCCATATTTTTCCCTAAATTCCCGTTTTTATTCCGGGATTTATTCCCGTTTTTCCGTACTGTTTCATGGTGAGCAGTCACGAGTCCAGGCTGTGCTGCCGCCATTGCCCTGGCTGTTTATTCCCAGATTAATTCCTGGATTCATTCCCAGATTTAACCCCAGATTTAATCCCAGATTTATCCCCAGATTTTTCCCCTATTCCCAGATTTATTCCTGGATTTATTCCCATTTTTATTCCCGTTTTTCCGTACTGTTTCATGTTGAGCAGCCGCGAGTCCAGGCTGTGCTGCCGCCATTCCCACATCCCATTCCCACATTCCCTGCCTGTTTATTCCTGGATTTAATCCCACATTTAACCCCAGATTTAACCCCGGATTCATTCCCAGATTTAATCCCGGATTTTCCCCCAAATTCCGGGATTTATTCCCGTTTTTATTCCGTACTGTTTCATGGTGAGGAGCCGCGAGTCCAGGCTGTGCTGCCGCCATTCCCTGGCTGTTTATTCCCAGATTAATTCCTGGATTCATTCCCAGATTTAACCCCTGATTTAATCCCGGATTTATTCCCAAATTCCGGGATTTATTCCGGGATTTATTCCCACTTTTCCGTACTGTTTCATGTTGAGCAGCCGCGAGTCCAGGCTGTGCTGCCGCCATTCCCACATTCCCTTCCCACATTCCCGGATTCATTCCCAGATTTAACCCCAAATTCAATCCCGGATTTTTCCCCAAATTCCCGTTTTTATTCCCGTTTTTATTCCCGTTTTTCCGTACTGTTTAATGTTCAGCAGCCGCGAGTCCAGGCTGTGCTGCCGCCATTCCCACATCCCATTCCCACATTCCCTGGGCGTTTATTCCCAGATTTAATCCCAGATTTAATCCCAGATTTATTCCCAGATTCAATTCTAAATTCCAGGATTTATTCCCAGATTTATTCCCGGATTTATTCCCGGATTTAATCCGGGATTTATCCCCAATTCCCGGATTTATTCCCGGATTCATTCCTGGATTCATTCCCAGATTTAATCCCGAATTTATCCCCAATTCCCGGATTTATTCCCACATTTATTCCCAGATTCATTCCCAGATTTAACCCCAAATTTAATCCCGTATTTTTCCCCAAATTCTGGGATTTATTCCCGTTTTTATTCCCGTTTTTATTCCGTACTGTTTCATGGTGAGCAGCCGGGAGTCCAGGCTGTGCTGCCGCCATTCCCACATTCCATTCCCACATTCCCTGGCTGTTTATTCCCAGATTAATTCCCGGATTTAACCCCAAATTCAATCCCGGATTTTTCCACAAATTCCCGTTTTTATTCCCACTTTTCCGTACTGTTTCATGTTGAGCAGGCGTGAGTCCAGGCTGTCCTGCTTGCCGCGCATGGCCTGCATGTCTGCCAGCAGCCGCGCCACGCTGTCCTGCCGCACCCGCACCTCCTCCGGCTTCAGCGACGACACCTGCCATGGAAAAACGGGAAAACGGGAAAAATCGGGAATCTGACACGCGGGAAACACCCGGGAAGTGATGGGAATTTTTTGGGAATTTTTTAGGAATTTTTTGGGAATTTTTTGGGAATTTTTGGAGAATTTTTTAGGAATTTTTCTGATTTTTTTCAATTTTTTTCTCATTTTTTTGGCAAATTTTATGGGATTTTTTTCAAAATTTTTTCCGCTTTTTTTCCTGCTTTTTGTCAAATTTTTGGGATTTTTTTCCTGAATTTTTTGGATTTTTTTTCTGATTTTTTGTCAATGTTTTTAGATTTTTTTTTCTGCCTTTTTTCCACTTTTTGTGAAATTTTTGGTTTTCTGGTTTTTTTTTCTGATTTTTTGTCAATTTCTTTGGGATTTATTTTATGAATTTTAAAAATTTTTTTTCTGATTTTTTGACTTTTTTTGGGGATTTTTTCCAAACATTTTCTGACTTTTTTGTCAATTTTTTTGGATTTTTTTTCCTCCCTTTTTTTTGCTTTTTGTCAAATTTTGGGGATTTTTTTCTGCTTTTTTTTGATTTATTTTCTGATTTTTTGTCATTTTTTCCAGGATTTTTTCCAAACATTTTCTGATTTTTTGTCTTTTTTTTTTCTTTTTCCCCTTTTTTCCACTTTTTGTCAAATTTTTGGGATTTTTCTCTAAATTTTTTTTTTTCTGATTTTTTTTTTTTTTTGGTGTCTTTGTTTTTTGGCAGCATTTTTACCACTTCTGAGGAATTTTTTATTATTTTTAAGGAATTTTTCGGGGGACTTTTTTTGGTTTTTTTTTACAGAATTATTCCGATTTTTTTCCGATTTTTTTCCGATTTTTGGGGAGATTTTTTTGCTAATTTTTCCCAAACCATTTTTCCAATTTTTGCTGATATTTTTTTGTGTTTTTTGGGTGTTTTTGGCGGTGACTGCCGCTGGTGACTTTGCGTTTGATGTTCTCCAGGAGCCGCTCCTGGCAACGATTTTTAAAACCCATTTTTGGCCATTTTTTAATGGGAATTTCTCCTAATTTTTTTTTTTAAATTTTGGGCAATTAAAAATATTTTTCTATAATTTTAGGGGAATTTTTGAGCAGGATTTTTTTACCATTCTTGAGGAATTTTTGGTTATTTTTAAGGAATTTTTGGGGGGATTTTTTTTGGTTTTTTTACAGAATTATTCTGACTTTTTTCCGATTTTTTGGGGATTTTTTTGGGCTGATTTTTCCTAGATTATTTTTGCCATTTCTGAGGAATTTTGGGGGGAAATTTTTTATATTTCTCTATAATTTTGGGAAATATTTTTCCCCAATTTTTTTCAATTTTTTTTAAATTTTTGTGGAAATTTTTGCCGATTTTTCCCAGACCATTTTTCCCATTCCTGGTGAATTTTTGGTGTTTTAGGGGCAAGTTTTTCATGGAATTTTTTCTATTTTTCTCCAATTTTTGGGGAGATTTTTTTTTTTTCCATTTTTTTTTTCCGATTTTAGTTTTTTGTGGGGATTTTTTTCCTGTTTTTTCCCAGACAATTTTTCCCTTTTCTGAGGAATTTTGGGGAAGTTTTTATACTTTGTATAATTTAGGGGTAGATTTTTTTTGGTTTTTTTACAGAATTATACCAATTTTTTCCCCAATTTTTTTTCCATTTCTTTCCATTCCTGGGCCGATTTTTTTGCCGATTTTTCCCAAACCATTTTTCCAATTTTTGTGAATATTTTTTTGTGGTTTTTTGGGTGTTTTTTGGGTGTTTTTGCCCCGGACTGCCGCTGGTGACTTTGCATTTGATGTTCTCCAAGAGCCGCTCCTGGCAAGGATTTTTAAAACCCATTTTTGGCCGTTTTTTAATGGGAATTTCTCCTAATTTTTTTTTTTCATTTTGGGGAATTTTAAAATATTTTTCAATAATTTTGGTTTTTTTTTTTTTTGAGCAGGATTTTTACCACTTCTGAGGAATTTTTGGTTATTTTTAAGGAATTTTTGCGGGGATTTTTTTGGGTTTTTTTACAGAATTATTCCGATTTTTTCCCGATTTTTTGGGGGATTTTTTTGCCGATTTTTCCCAAACCATTTTTCCAATTTTTGTGAATATTTTTTTGTGTTTTTTGTGTGTTTTTGGCCGTGACTGCCACTGGTGACTTTGCATTTGATGTTCTCCAGGAGCCGCTCCTGGCAGGGATTTTTAAAACCCATTTTTGGCCATTTTTTAATGGGAATTTTTGCTGAGTTTTTTTTTATTTTTAGGGAACTTTAAAAAATTTTTCTATAATTTTGGGTTTTTTTTCTGAGCAGGATTTTTACCACTCCTGAGGAATTTTTGGTTATTTTAAAGGAATTTTTGGGGGGATTTTTATTTGTTTTTTTTACAGAACTATTCCGATTTTTTTCCGATTTTTGGGGGATTTTTTTGCCGATTTTTCCCAAACCATTTTTCCAATTTCTGCTGATATTTTTTTGGGTTTTTTGGGTGTTTTTCCCCGGAACAGCCGCTGGTGACTTTGCGTTTGATGTTCTCCAGGAGCTGCTCCTGGCAATGACTTCTACAAATCCATTTTTGGTGATTTTTTAATGGGAATTTCTCCTAATTTTTTTTTTAATTTTGGGCAATTAAAAAAAAAAATTTCAATAGTTCTGGGGGAATTTTCTTTGTGGGATTTTTTACCATTCCTGAGGAATTTTTGGTTATTTTTAAGGAATTTTTGGGGGGACATTTTTTGGTTTTTTTACAGAATTATTCCGATTTTTTTCCGATTTTTTGGGGGATTTTTTTGCTAATTTTTCCCAAACCACTTTTTTTAAATTTGTGAATGTTTTTTTGTGGTTTTTTTGTGTTTTTTGTGTGTTTTTGCCCCAGACTGACGCTGGTGACTTTGCGTTTGATGTTCTCCAGGAGCCGCTCCTGCCCGCGCAGGAAGAACGGGTGCTGGAACTCGGTGTCGTCCTTCTCCGGCTTCACCAAACCGCCCTGCTCCAGGTGCACCACCTTCCGGAATCCGTCTGGAAACGGGGGAAAAAACCGGAAAAATGGGAAAAACGGGAAAAAAAATGGGAATTTTCATGAAAAAATGGGAAAAAAATGGGCAAAAATGGGAAAAAATGGGGAAAAAAAGGGGTAAAAACGGGATTGTGGCAGCACCCGCCCTGCTCCAGGTGCACCACCTTCCGGAATCCGTCTGGAAACGGGGGAAAAAAACGGAAAAATGGGAAAAATGGGAAAAAAAATGGGAAATTTGGGGAAAAAAACAGGAAAAATGGGAAAAAATCCGGGAAAAATGGGAATTTTCAGGGAAAAATGGGGGGAAATGGGAAAAAAATAGGAAAAAATGTGAATTTTCAGGCAAAAATGGGAATTTCCATGGAAAATGAGAAAAAAAAATGGGAAACTTGGGGAAAAAAACAGGAAAATGGGAAAAAAATGGGAATAATGGGGAAAAAAATTGGGAAAATGGGGAAAAATCCAGGGAAAATGGGAAAAAACTAGGGAATAATGTGGAAAAATCCAGGGATTTCAAGGGGAAAATGGGAAAAAAAAGGAGAAATCCGTAAAAAATGGGGAAAAATCCTGGGAAAATGGGAAAAAATACCTGGAAAAATGGAAAATTTCCCAGAATTTCCAGGGGAAAATTCCATGGAAAAATGGGAAAAATCCTAGTATTTCCATGGAAAAATGGGGAAAAAAACAGGGAAAAGGGAAAAAAATCTGGGAATTTCCATGGAAAAATGGGGAAAATTGGGAAAAATGAAAATTTCCAGGGGTAATGGGAAAAATCTGGGAAAAAGTGGAAAAAAAAATTCTGGGAATTTTCAGGGAAAAATGGGAAAAAATATGGGAATAATGGGAAAAAAAATGGGAATCCGATTCCCAAAGGCCCAAAATCCTTCCCCAAACCCCAAAAATCCCAAAAAAAATCCCCAAAAATCCCCTGGAAAAGCCCCGAAGCCCCAAATTTCACCCCAGAATTTTGGGAATTTTTGTGAATTTTGGGGAATTTTTGGGAATTTTGGGAATTCCAACTCACACATGTTGAGCTGGCGGACGAAGCCAATCCCCAAAATCCCCAAAAAATCCCCAAAAATCCCCAAAATCCCCTGGAAAAGCCCCAGAAGCCCCAAATTTCACCCCAGAATTTTGGGAATTTTTGGGAATTTTTGGGAATTTTTGGGAATTTTTGGGAATTTTGGGAATTCCGACTCACACATGTTGAGCTGTCGGACGAAGCCGATTCCCAAAGCCCCAAAATCCCCAAAAATCCCCAAAAATCCCCTGGAAAAGCCCCAGAAGCCCCAAATTTCACCCCAGAATTTTGGGAATTGTTGGGAATTTTTGGGAATTCGGGAATTTTGGGAATTCTGACTCACACATGTTGAGCTGTCGGACGAAACCGATTCCCAAAGCCCCAAAATCCCCAAAAAATCCCCAAAAATCCCCTGGAAAAGCCCCAGAAGCCCCAAATTTCACCCCAGAATTGACTGAATTTTTGGGAATTTTTGGGAATTGTTGGGAATTTGGGAATTTTTAGGAATTTGGACTCACACATGTTGAGCTGTCGGACGAAACCGATCCCCAAAGCCCCAAAATCCCAAAAAAATCCCCAAAAAATCCCCTGGAAAAGCCCCAGAAGCCCCAAATTTCACCCCAGAATTCCCAAATTTTTGGGAATTTTTCGGAATTGTTGGGAATTTTTGGGAATTTTGGGAATTCTCACTCACACATGTTGAGCTGGCGGACGAAACCGATTCCCAAAGCCCCAAAATCCTTCCCCAAAACCCCAAAAATCCCAAAAAAATCCCAAAAATCCCCTGGAAAAGCCCCAAATTTCACCCCAGAATTCCCAAATTGTTGGGAATTTTTGGGAATTGTTGGGAATTTTCGGGAATTCTGACTCACACATGTTGAACTGTCGGACGAAGCTGATCCCCAAAGCCCCAAAATCCTTCCCCAAAACCCAAAAAAATCCCCAAAAAATCCCCTGGAAAAGCCCCAGAAGCCCCAAATTTAACCCCAGAATTTTGGGAATTTTTGGGAATTTTGGGAATTCCCACTCACACATGTTGAGCTGGCGCACGAAACCGATCCCCAAAGCCCCAAAATCCTTCCCCAAACCCCAAAAATCCCCAAAAATCCCCTGGAAAAGCCCCAGAAGCCCCAAATTTCACCCCAGAATTCCCAAATTTTTGGGAATTTTCGGGAATTGTTGGGAATTTGGGAATTCTGACTCACACATGTTGAGCTGGCGCACGAAACCGATCCCCAAAGCCCCAAAATCCCCAAAAAATCCCCCAAAATCCCCTGGAAAAGCCCCAGAAGCCCCAAATTTCACCCCAGAATTCCCAAATTTTTGGGAATTTTCGGGAATTTTTTGGAATTTTCGGGAATTCTGACTCACACATGTTGAGCTGGCGGACGAAGCCGATCCCCAAAGCCCCAAAATCCTTCTGGAAACCCCAAAAATCCCCAAAAAATCCCCAAAAATCCCCTGGAAAAGCCCCAGAAGCCCCAAATTTCACCCCAGAATTCCCGAACTTTTGGGAATTTTTGGGAATTCGGGAATTTTGGGAATTCTGACTCACACATGTTGAGCTGTCAGACGAAACCGATCCCCAAAGCCCCAAAATCCCCAAAAAAATCCCCAAAAATCCCCAAAAATCCCCTGGAAAAGCCCCAGAAGCCCCAAATTTCACCCCAGAATTTTGGGAATTTTCGGGAATTTTTGGGAATTCGGGAATTTTCGGGAATTCTGACTCACACATGTTGAGCTGGCGGACGAAGCCGATCCCCAAAGCCCCAAAATCCCCAAAAAATCCCCAAAAATCCTCCAAAAATCCCCAAAAATCCCCTGGAAAAGCCCCAGAAGCCCCAAATTTCACCCCAGAATTCCCAAATTTTTTGGGAATTTTTGGGAATTTTCGGGAATTTGGGAATTCTGACTCACACATGTTGAGCTGGCGCACGAAACTGGCCATGTTGCTGTGCTTGAAGTACTTGGGCAGAACCTCCTTGGAGAACTGGCCCTGGTCAAAGACGTGGAAGCTGCTCCCGCTCTGCAAAAAACACGGAAAATTGGGAATGAAATGGGAATTTTGGGAATTTTTTGGAATTTTGGGAATTTTTGGATAATTTATAGGGAATTTTTGGGGAATTTTGAGGGGTTTTGGCGACTTTTTTGAAGAGTTTTAGGGGTTTTTTTGCAATTTTTTCGTATTTTTGGGGAATTTTTTTAAGGTATTTTTGGGAATTTTTGGGATTTTTTTGGAAATTTTTTTGGGAATTTTGGAGAATTTTAAAAACTTTTTTTCATTTTTTGAATTTTGGGATTTTTTAGGTTTTGGGGGATTTTTTTTTGGTGTTTTTTGGGACTACTTGGAATTTTTGGGGGGAATTTTGTGGCTTTTTGAGGATTTTTTTTGATTTTTTTGAAACTTTTTTTATGGTTTTTGAATTTTGGGATTTTTGGGATTGTTTGGGAAGTTTTGGAGAATTTTAGGGATTTTTATGGAAAGTTCCGGAATTTTTGGGGGAAGTTTTGGAATTTTTTGAGACGTTTTGGGAATTTTTGGGGAATTTTATTGCTAATTTTTGGGGGAATTTCGGAGAACTTCTTGAAAGTTTGGGATTTTTTAAAATTTCTTTGGAATTTTGGGGATTTTCAGGATTTTTTTGGTGGAATTTTAGGAATTTTTGGGGATGTTTGGTAGAACTGGCCCCGGTCAAAGACGTGAAAGCTGCTCCCGCTCTGGGAAAACACGGAAAATTGGGAATGAAATGGGAAATTTGGAAATTTTGGGAAATTTTGGGCACTTTTTTCTGGATTTTTTGGGCAATTTTTAGGAGTTTTGGGGGAATTTTGGAGAGTTTTTGAGGAATTTTTGGGGATTTTAAAGGGATTTTCTGCAATTTTTTCTTATTTTTTTGGGAATTTCATTAAGGATTTTTGGGGGAATTTTTAGGGTTTTTGTGATTTTTCTTGGGGGTTTTTGAGGGATTTTTGGGCATTTTTTGAGGATTTCTTTGGGGATATTTTTGAGGAATTTTGGGATTTTATTGGATTTTTTTTAGGAATTTTGGGGATATTTTTGAGAATTTTTGTGATTTTTTTTTAATTTTTGGGGTAAATCTTGGGATTTTCAGGGAATTTTAGGGATTTTTGGTGTTTTTTGGGGAATTTTTGGGGATTTTGGGGATATTTGGGAGAACTGGCCCTGGTCAAAGACGTGGAAGCTGCTCCCGCTCCGGAAAAACACGGAAAATTGGGAATGAAATGGGAATAACGGGTTTTTCCTCAGGAATAAGGAGATTTTTCGTGGGAATAAGGGTCTTTTCCCCAGGAATAAGGGGATTTTTCGTGGGGAAAGGGGCATTTTTCCTGGGAAAAGTGGGATTTTTCTGGGAATAACGGGATTTTTTTGCGGGAATAACGGGCTTTTTTGCCTGAATAATGGGATTTTTCGTGGGAATAAGGGTCTTTTCCCCAGGAAAAGTGGGATTTTCCTGGGAAAAGCAGGATTTTTCCTGGAAATAAAGAGATTTTTTCCCAGAAAAAATGGGCAAATGGGATTTTCCCTGGAGATAGTGGGATTTTACATGGTTAAAGCTGGATTTCTCCCGGGAAAATTGGGATTTTTCCCAGGAGAATTGGGATTTTATGCAGGAATACGGGGATTTTCCCCAGAAATAATGGGATTTTTCGTGGGAATAAGGGTCTTTTTCCCAGGAAAAATGGGATTTTTCCTGGGAAAAGTGGGATTTTCCTGGGAATAACGGAATTTTTTGCGGGAATAATGGGATTTTTCACGGGAATAATGGGATTTTTCATGGGAATAAGGGTCTTTTCCTCAGGAAAAGTGGGATTTTTCCTGGGAATAATGGGATTTTTTGCAGGGATAATGGGATTTTTCGTGGGAATAACTGGATTTTTTGCGGGAATAATGGGATTTTCCCGGGAATAACGGGATTTTTCATGGGAATAAGGGTCTTTTTTCCAGGAAAAGTGGGATTTTTCCTGAGAAAATTTGGATTTTCCCGGGAATAACGGGATTTTTCCCAAGAATAACGGGATTTTCCCCAGGAATAATGGGATTTTTCGCGGGAATAAGGGTCTTTTCCCCAGGAAAATTGGGATTTTTCCTGGGAAAAGTGGGATTTTTCCTGGGAAAAGCTGGAATTTTATGGGAAAAATTGGATTTTTCGTAGGAATAACGGGCTTTTTCCCAAGAATAACAGGATTTTTCGTGGGAATAAGGGTCTTTTTCCCAGGAAAAGTGGGATTTTTCGTGGAAAAAGTGGGATTTTCCTGGGAATAACGGGATTTTTTGATGAAATAACGGGATTTTTCCCAAGAATAACGGGATTTTTCCCAAGAATAATGGGATTTTTCCCGGGAATAAGGGTCTTTTTCCCAGGAAAAGTGGGATTTTTCCTGGGAAAAGTGGGATTTTTCGTGGGAAAAGCTGGAATTTTACGGGAAAAATTGGGTTTTTCGTGGGAATAACGGGATTTTTTACTGAAATAACAACATTTTTCCCGGGAGTAAGGGGGTTTTTCGTGGAAATATGGGTTTTTCCCCAGGAAAAGTGGGATTTTTTCTGGGAAAAGTGGGATTTTTCGTGAGAAAAGCTGGAATTTTATGGGAAAAATTGGATATTTCGGGGGAATAACGGGATTTTTTAGCGGAATAACGGGATTTTTCACGTGAATAAGGGGATTTTTCGTGGCAATAAGGGTCTTTTCCCCAGAAAAAGTGGGATTTTTCCTGAGAAAAGTTGGATTTCCCCGGGAATAACGGGATTTTTCGCCTGACTATCGGCCTTTTCAGCGGGAAAAGTCGGTTTTTTTTGGCGGGAAAAGCCGGTTTTTTTGGCGGGAAAAGCCGTTTTTTGGCGGGAAATGCCGTTTATCCGCCGCAGCGGCGCCGCGGCCCGCGGGGCCCAGGCCGGGCCTTACCGGGCCGTACCGGACCCCGCCGCCCGCCCCCCCGGGAGCTCCGGGGCCACTCACGGGGCTCCAGCAGATCAGCGCGTCCGTCTCGGGGTCCTCCACCAGCGTCCACAGCTTGCTCAGGAACGCGGGCACGTTGCTGGCCCCGGGGCCCGCGCCCGCCGCCGCCGCCGCCGCCGCGCCCGGCCCGTCCATGGCCGCGCTGGGGGCGGGGAGGGCTCGGGGAGGCCCCGCGGGGAAAAAGCCCCGCGGGGAAAAAGCCCCGGGGGCGGCGGCGGCGCCGTTAAAGAGCGACGGGAGAGCCCCGAGCGGCGGCGGCGGCGGCGGCGGCGGGGGGCGGCATGGCCGCCGCCATCTTGGGGGCGTGAGGGAGCGCGGCGGGACGGGAACGGGGCGGGGCTTGGGGTGAGGACACGCCTACTTGTGCCGTAGCCACGCCCACTCAATGTTACAGATAGGGGTTTCGTGCAAAGACACGCCCACTTGTGCGGTAGCCACGCCCACCGAATATTACATAAGGGGGTTCTGGCGCAAAGACACGCCCACTTGTGCCGTAGCCACGCCCACCGCATATTAAATAAAGGCGCTTTGGGGAAAAGACACGCCCACTTGTGGTGTAGCCACGCCCGCCGCATATTACATAAAGGGGCTTTGGTGCAAAGACACGCCCACTTGTGCGGTAGCCACGCCCACTCTGCTGCCCTGATAAAGAGGGCGGGGCTTTGTGGCAAAGTCACGCCCCTCTCTGAGGATAGCCACGCTCCCACATATTAGTACTAGGGGGTTAAGGGTAGAGACACGCCCCCTTGTAGGGTAGCCACGCCCACTGCGTGGTGCAGATAGGCGCTTTGGTGCAAAGACACGCCCCCTTTTGCAATACCCATGCCCACTGTTCTTTATAGTAAAGGGCTTTGCCTCAGGGCACGCCCCCTTGTGCGGTGGCCACGCCCACTGCGTGTCACAGATACAGAACACCCCTATCTCATCTGGTCACGCCCCGTGCCCACAGAGACACGCCCCAATCACCTGGCCCTGCCCTCTGGCCATTTTTGGCAATATCTGGGCGGGGCTCTCACAAAGTGACACCTTCAATGGAGCGGACACGCCCCTGTGCGATCTGGCCCCGCCCTCCCGGCGTGGACACGCCCATTTCTTTTAATGACCACGCCCCTTTCCCATTGCTGGCGCAGCGAGCAGAGAACGCCCCCGAACACGCGTGGCCACGCCCCCTTCCGCAGAGCCACGCCCCTTTCCCGTCCCTCACCCAGCCACCCTCGCGGCTGCCGCAGCGCGCATGCGCGGGCCCGGCGGGGCGATGCCCTCTGCGCACGCGCGCGTCGCTTTTCCCCATTTTCCCGCGCTGCCGCCCCATTCCCGTTCTTTTCCCTGTTCCATTTTCCCGTTCTCATCTCCGGTTCCCGTTATCCCGCCCTGCCCAGGAGCGGCATCCCCACCCCCGGGAGCGGTGCGGGGCCGCGGCAAGGCGGAAGAGCGGCGGGAAGGGGCGTGGCCGTCTCTCTGAGCGGTGCCCACGTGTTCGGCGGAGCCGCCAGCATGGAGCAGGTACGGGGGTGACCGGGGAGGGGGGACGGGGATGGGGACACACACGGGGGTGTCATGGCAACGGACGGGGAGGGGACACACACGGCATTGCCATGGCGGCGGGGAGGGGCTGGGCTGGGGTCCGTGAGGGGGAAATGGGGAGGGGTCCGGGCTGGTGTCCGTGAGGGGCACCGGGAAATGGGGAAACGGGGAGAAGGCTGATGTCCGTGAGGGGCACCGGGAAATGGTGAGGGGTCCGGGCTGGTGTCCGTAAGGGGCACCGGGAAATGGGGAAATGGGGTCCGGGCTGGTGTCCATAAGGGGAACCCTGCACTGAGAGGGGTGTCTGGTCTTATTCTGAGGGGGAACTCGGCACTGAGGAGACCTTTGGCCTCCTGAGAGGAAATTGGTCTTGTCCTGAGCGGGGACAACCCGTAATATGTGGCGGTTTGGCCTCATGAAGGGCAAGACACGGCTCTGTCCCGGTGAGGGAGGACCAGGAAATGGCGGCGGGGGGATCCAGCCCGGTGTGTGTGAGGGAACCTGGCACTGAGAGCTCTGGGAATGGCTCCAGCCCGGTGTGTGTGAGGGAACCTGGCACTGAGAGCTCTGGGAATGGCTCCAGCCCGGTGTGTGTGAGGGAACCTGGCACTGAGAGCTCTGGGAATGGCTCCAGCCCGGTGTGTGTGAGGGAACCTGGCACTGAGAGCTCTGGGAATGGCTCCAGCCCGGTGTGTGTGAGGGAACCTGGCACTGAGAGCTCTGGGAATGGCTCCAGCCCGGTGTGTGTGAGGGAACCTGGCACTGAGAGCTCTGGGAATGGCTCCAGCCCGGTGTGTGTGAGGGAACCTGGCACTGAGAGCTCTGGGAATGGCTCCAGCCCGGTGTGTGTGAGGGAACCTGGCACTGAGAGCTCTGGGAATGGCTCCAGCCCGGTGTGTGTGAGGGAACCTGGCACTGAGAGCTCTGGGAATGGCTCCAGCCCGGTGTGTGTGAGGGAACCTGGCACTGAGAGCTCTGGGAATGGCTCCAGCCCGGTGTGTGTGAGGGAACCTGGCACTGAGAGCTCTGGGAATGGCTCCAGCCCGGTGTGTGTGAGGGAACCTGGCACTGAGAGCTCTGGGAATGGCTCCAGCCCGGTGTGTGTGAGGGAACCTGGCACTGAGAGCTCTGGGAATGGCTCCAGCCCGGTGTGTGTGAGGGAACCTGGCACTGAGAGCTCTGGGAATGGCTCCAGCCCGGTGTGTGTGAGGGAACCTGGCACTGAGAGCTCTGGGAATGGCTCCAGCCCGGTGTGTGTGAGGGAACCTGGCACTGAGAGCTCTGGGAATGGCTCCAGCCCGGTGTGTGTGAGGGAACCTGGCACTGAGAGCTCTGGGAATGGCTCCAGCCCGGTGTGTGTGAGGGAACCTGGCACTGAGAGCTCTGGGAATGGCTCCAGCCCGGTGTGTGTGAGGGAACCTGGCACTGAGAGCTCTGGGAATGGCTCCAGCCCGGTGTGTGTGAGGGAACCTGGCACTGAGAGCTCTGGGAATGGCTCCAGCCCGGTGTGTGTGAGGGAACCTGGCACTGAGAGCTCTGGGAATGGCTCCAGCCCGGTGTGTGTGAGGGAACCTGGCACTGAGAGCTCTGGGAATGGCTCCAGCCCGGTGTGTGTGAGGGAACCTGGCACTGAGAGCTCTGGGAATGGCTCCAGCCCGGTGTGTGTGAGGGAACCTGGCACTGAGAGCTCTGGGAATGGCTCCAGCCCGGTGTGTGTGAGGGAACCTGGCACTGAGAGCTCTGGGAATGGCTCCAGCCCGGTGTGTGTGAGGGAACCTGGCACTGAGAGCTCTGGGAATGGCTCCAGCCCGGTGTGTGTGAGGGAACCTGGCACTGAGAGCTCTGGGAATGGCTCCAGCCCGGTGTGTGTGAGGGAACCTGGCACTGAGAGCTCTGGGAATGGCTCCAGCCCGGTGTGTGTGAGGGAACCTGGCACTGAGAGCTCTGGGAATGGCTCCAGCCCGGTGTGTGTGAGGGAACCTGGCACTGAGAGCTCTGGGAATGGCTCCAGCCCGGTGTGTGTGAGGGAACCTGGCACTGAGAGCTCTGGGAATGGCTCCAGCCCGGTGTGTGTGAGGGAACCTGGCACTGAGAGCTCTGGGAATGGCTCCAGCCCGGTGTGTGTGAGGGAACCTGGCACTGAGAGCTCTGGGAATGGCTCCAGCCCGGTGTGTGTGAGGGAACCTGGCACTGAGAGCTCTGGGAATGGCTCCAGCCCGGTGTGTGTGAGGGAACCTGGCACTGAGAGCTCTGGGAATGGCTCCAGCCCGGTGTGTGTGAGGGAACCTGGCACTGAGAGCTCTGGGAATGGCTCCAGCCCGGTGTGTGTGAGGGAACCTGGCACTGAGAGCTCTGGGAATGGCTCCAGCCCGGTGTGTGTGAGGGAACCTGGCACCGAGAGCTCTGGGAATGGCTCCAGCCCGGTGTGTGTGAGGGAACCTGGCACCGAGAGCTCTGGGAATGGCTCCAGCCCGGTGTGTGTGAGGGAACCTGGCACTGAGAGCTCTGGGAATGGCTCCAGCCCGGTGTGTGTGAGGGAACCTGGCACTGAGAGCTCTGGGAATGGCTCCAGCCCGGTGTGTGTGAGGGAACCTGGCACTGAGAGCTCTGGGAATGGCTCCAGCCCGGTGTGTGTGAGGGAACCTGGCACTGAGAGCTCTGGGAATGGCTCCAGCCCGGTGTGTGTGAGGGAACCTGGCACTGAGAGCTCTGGGAATGGCTCCAGCCCGGTGTGTGTGAGGGAACCTGGCACTGAGAGCTCTGGGAATGGCTCCAGCTCGGTGTGTGTGAGGGAACCTGGCACTGAGAGCTCTGGGAATGGCTCCAGCCCGGTGTGTGTGAGGGAACCTGGCACCGAGAGCTCTGGGAATGGCTCCAGCCCGGTGTGTGTGAGGGAACCTGGCACTGAGAGCTCTGGGAATGGCTCCAGCCCGGTGTGTGTGAGGGAACCTGGCACTGAGAGCTCTGGGAATGGCTCCAGCCCGGTGTGTGTGAGGGAACCTGGCACTGAGAGCTCTGGGAATGGCTCCAGCCCGGTGTGTGTGAGGGAACCTGGCACTGAGAGCTCTGGGAATGGCTCCAGCCCGGTGTGTGTGAGGGAACCTGGCACTGAGAGCTCTGGGAATGGCTCCAGCCCGGTGTGTGTGAGGGAACCTGGCACTGAGAGCTCTGGGAATGGCTCCAGCCCGGTGTGTGTGAGGGAACCTGGCACTGAGAGCTCTGGGAATGGCTCCAGCCCGGTGTGTGTGAGGGAACCTGGCACTGAGAGCTCTGGGAATGGCTCCAGCCCGGTGTGTGTGAGGGAACCTGGCACTGAGAGCTCTGGGAATGGCTCCAGCCCGGTGTGTGTGAGGGAACCTGGCACTGAGAGCTCTGGGAATGGCTCCAGCCCGGTGTGTGTGAGGGAACCTGGCACTGAGAGCTCTGGGAATGGCTCCAGCCCGGTGTGTGTGAGGGAACCTGGCACTGAGAGCTCTGGGAATGGCTCCAGCCCGGTGTGTGTGAGGGAACCTGGCACTGAGAGCTCTGGGAATGGCTCCAGCCCGGTGTGTGTGAGGGAACCTGGCACTGAGAGCTCTGGGAATGGCTCCAGCCCGGTGTGTGTGAGGGAACCTGGCACTGAGAGCTCTGGGAATGGCTCCAGCCCGGTGTGTGTGAGGGAACCTGGCACTGAGAGCTCTGGGAATGGCTCCAGCCCGGTGTGTGTGAGGGAACCTGGCACTGAGAGCTCTGGGAATGGCTCCAGCCCGGTGTGTGTGAGGGAACCTGGCACTGAGAGCTC